TCTAGTGAAAATTCTGAATGTCTGATGAACTACAAAATGGGGTTTCCGGTACGAAAGAAATGAAAAAGTTAAATACTTTGAATAAAAGAAAGTCGTGAAATAGCCATGAATTAAAACGCAAAAATAAAAAAATAATAGCCCAACCAAAATTGATTACTTTCAAGAAATGTAGTAAAAATACTTTACCTAAGGCCTCCATATTTTTCCAATTCTGTTTACACTATATTCCCACAGTACAAAAAATATATTGGTTTTATGTAATGTCCGTCTGTCTCTATATATGAATACAAACCATTTCGATGGTATTGACGCTAGAGATTTGGCCGTGGCATCGTAAAATGCTTTTCTGGTATATCAGTAATCTAATTAGTATAGTCGCATTAAAAACCCAAGATCAAAAAGTTTTACATTTTTATAGATCTAGCTAGCTCCAAAATTGGATAATTGAGTTGCTGATAGCCCCCTCTTTGAAAAATACCCTATAATTTGCACATATTTGGCAAATTTTACAGTTAAGTTACCTTGGAGCCTTCTACAAGCTGGATCTAGTTTTAGATTCAAAATTGAATCAGATCCTAAAAGGTTAACAAAAAAAAAACGTAATTTGATGGAAGGCGAAACAGTTGACATCGCTCGTTCCATTGTTATGTTGGACAGTGTTATTTGGGCGGCTTCTTTTTGGCCTTAACGCCCTGGTCGCACTTGGCACTTGGCAGCTGGCACTTGGCAATAAGGCGTTTAGGCCCGCCTCTGGAGTTCGATGACTTGCAGCACGTCAATCCGCTTGGCACGCCGAATTTTACGCTTGACTGAGATGCGGATGAACTGGCGTACGTTAATTGCCGGACTGTGAGGGTAGCTGGAGGGGAAAGGGGGTGTCGATGATAGGGGCCAGAGGAGGCTTTCGGGGAAAATGAAGAAAAGCTGTGAAGCTGGCGACGACGAAGCGTGTGAGACAAGTGTAATGAAAACAAAACAAAATACTTTCTGGCAAGAGGGAAGGGCGGGGGGCTGGCGCCTGAGTAAGTGGATGTTAATGCCTGCAAAACGAATAGTTGGAAATCTCGTGACGAAATCAAAAACAACAAAAATTAACAAAACGGAAAATTACTGAACAACAACAACAAAAGCCAAAGCAAATCTGGTCTGAAGTTTTTCACTTTCACTGGCGGCAACTGAAATTGCGGTCTAAATGGATCCGGCGGGGTCGCTGTTCCCCAATTGACGTCGATGTGGCTGCTCTCGATTGTGGGCCGTCGGTCAGAGGGGGTTGGGTTAATGGCTAGGGCCACGCTCTAATAACCCAGCCGCGGCATTTCACTCATTTCACTCTTTTCACTCGCCCAGCCAAATGGGGAAATTAGAACCCGCGCCGACAATTTAACGGAAGCTCGAAGCGAATGATTCACTCACTCAGTACTCCGGAAATATTCAACCCTTTCAATTACTCTCTGCATATAAACTGTTTTCAAATACAATTTGAATATGCCATGAATCAAACAGCTCTAAGCAGACACCGACTGCTGAATACTCTATTCACCAGCTTCACACTTTGCAATATCGAAAGGTCAAGTTCCTGGAGTTACAGCTGATAGTTTCCAGAATACTCCGACTACAGTTACTACATATTTGTAGATGAATTGAAATCTGTAATGAGTACCCTGTAATCGTATTACTATATATTTGTAGATGAATTGATATCTGTAATTAATACCTTGTAATCGTATTGGAATGCTTTTCGACTAGAACTAGTTTTGGGCAGATATGTGCTTGGAGAGAATCTGGGTAGCTTACATCTGTTCGTCACTCTGTCAGTTGGTCAACTATAACCTGTAATCCTTAGGAATTAGTTGTTGCTTTAGCTTCATACATATGTATGTATATTATTCTTATATTCACATATTCATAGCTTAAATTCAAAGAAAAAGCCGTTACAGAGCTAACTGCAGGCTGTCAGTAATACCCTGTCGTCATTCCACATTCAGGCATACCCTGTAATAGGTGATTTGACTTGAATAATTTAAATTTCCTAATAGCAAGAGAGAATTTCTCCGATTATATTATATATATTCATATATGTTTTTATTGGGCATGCGAATACGGGAAAGACCCTTCGAATATCCGACAGATCATAGGTCGGAATTGCTGATTATCCAGCTGCGCAGGGTAGCGATGCTTTCGTAGCCGTCGGGCGCTTCCCGGCCGCAGGCGCCCAGCACAAAGCTGGCCACGCCTACGAGGCGACCCTCGTAGACAGCCGGTCCGCCGGAGTCGCCGTGGCAGGCACCCAGATTGGCGCCATGCAGCAGGCACATGGTCGTCGAGGGCAGACGCCTCATGTAGTGGCTGGTGCAATCGGAGCGCGCAATGCTGCGCACCTGGACGTACAGCAGGTCGTTGGAGGTGGGTCCGCCGTGGAAGATGGCGCCCCAGCCGGAAATGTGCACTACGGAATCAGCTGGCGGATCCTCCTCGGCCAGCGGGATGGCGACAATGTTGGCATTGAGGCCGAGTGGCCTGGCCAGACGCAGCAGGGCAATGTCGTAGCCCTGGCCCCCATTTAGGTACTGCGGATGCACCTCGATGGCTGCCACATCCACGTAGACAGCGTAGCTGTTCAGCCTCAGGCTGCCCGCCTGCACCGCCAGCCTGGATGGATCTGTGCTGTGGACAGTGGGTTAGCGAGCGCGATTTGCGGCACTTGAGTCTAGCGATTCAACTTACACATCCTGTCCGAACTGGACGCAGTGCGCCGCGGTCAGCACATAGCTGGCCGATATTATGGAGCCGCCGCAGATATGATGGCCAAAGTAGCGGAGCGACACCTGATGCCCGAACTGCCCGGCACTGGCGCGTCGTCCGCCCACAATGCGCGGACGTATGGGCACCAACGGCCGGCTGGTTGTCGTCTCTTCCCGCTCCTGCTCGCAGCGGGCAAGCGAGATCTCCAGCAGCAGGAGCAGCAGCGGCGTCAATAGTCTCCCTAGCAGCTCCATTTCTCCCGTCAAGTGCTCGGCACGAGTTGACGTTGCCTGCTTTTATATGACAATCCATCATCATCATCATCATCAGCCACGCTCCCTTCTACGGAACTTATCAGTCTGCTAAATGACAGCCCCTTAATTACCAAAAAAAAAAAATAAAATAAAATAAAAACAAAAACAGCTTTAAGCAAGCTCGACACGTGCTCAGAGTTCATTATATTGCATCACATGTGTATAACACCCATATAGATCAGGGATTTCCCTGGCTCTGACAGATCACAGTCAAAGATTTGTGCTGGCAGAGTATAATCGAATATATTCTTCAGTTGAGAATGAACAGAGATCATCAATCAAGCCAGGACCTCACATTGTGAGGCTCACAATTCAAATATGTATTTATCGTTCTATCATTTCATGCAATGCAAGTTTATAGTGTTCATCCCCCGATTATTTATTATCGATAACAATCGATACTTCGATTCAATTGTTGAAGGCATGGCTTTAAATTTGACCATAAGACACCGTATTCTTGTAATGCATTTGTAGATATACATATATACATATATATATATGTAATAATATGTCTGAAATGGGTAATACTTAATATCAATTTGCTACCATATGCATATGAGAGTGCCCAGTGTAGTCATCAGTCGGTCACTCCCCATTCGAGCAGTCTAAGCATTATTTTCTTTACAGTCAATATTAAAAATGTCAATTTATCTAGTTTTTCCCCTTTTTATACCCTGAACCCATTGAAAATGGGAAATCAGGGTATAATGGTTTTGTTGAAATGTATGTAACAGGCAGAAGGAGGCGTGGCAGACCCCACAAAGTATATATATTCTTGATCAGGGTGACGAGCTGAGTCGATTTGGCCCTGTCCGTCTGTCTGTCTGTCCGTCTGTCCGTCTGTCCGTCTGTCCGTCTGTCCGTATGTTTGAGCGCGTCGATTTCTGAAGATATAAGAGCTAGAGATTTCAAATTTTTTTTAAAATGTCCGTAATTACAGCGCGCATATCAAGTTTATCATTAAAAATCGATAACTCATCCCGATCTTTTTTTATCGATAAAAAACCTTATCGAAAACCAGTTATAAAATTATATCTTCTACACCTTTATTGCTAGAGTCTCCAAATTTTTTATGTATGCTTATATGCAATTTATACAATTTCGATTTTTGTTAAAATTTACCCCCCACCCTTAAATTCACCCCCTCACCATCACTTTTGTAAAAAGCGTATTTCAAATACTAGAGACTTGTGCATTGGCAATTACATGCATATCCATGTTATAATCATAATCTGAAAGTTTCATGAAGATCGTACGTCCATAAAAAAAGTTATTAAACAATTAAGTTCTCATAGTAAGCGCACACTGCAGCCCATGCGTGTTTATGCGTGGGTGCTTGTGTGTGTATGTGTGTGTGTATGCGTGTGTGTGTATGTGTGTGTGTATGCGTGTGTGTGTATGTATGTTTGTGTGTGCGTACGTGCGTGTGTGTGTGTGTGTGCGTGTTTCTTGTGTAAGCTGAAAGACGCGAAAAATTATTGAAATATCTATTGCTCCAAGGGTTCAGGGGATCTCGTAGTCGAGCAGTCTCGACTAGAGCTTTCTTACTTGTTTTCTGCTCAGCTCGTTAGCTATTCAAATTTAAATTCTTTGTTTAAAATAATTTTGGTAGAGCACAAGTTGAGCTTATGGGATGATTTGAGTGTATCTCTTGATAACTATGGTAAATGGATAATGGAACCATTTGGCTTTGTAAAAATTCTCTATATTATAAAAAATCGAACTTGTTCAGGCTCTTGCTTAAAGCGGGGCACTACATGAGCTTCTCATTTTAAGATTCATAGCTTTATGCACTTGGGACTGTCCGATTGACTAAGGGAATTACCAAGGGTATTACGGACTATAGACTGAAAATTAAATATCGACCTATTAAATTCATGAATTGCTAATACCCTCTACCCTGCCTTTACCCTGCCCACGAATCCGGTCAGTAGTTCTCTAAGATTTGGTTTAATTTACTTGATTTATTGCGTACTATCGTTTGCTCTACAAGTTGGCATGCTGGATGATCCAGTCGCGATGGTAGAACACCTTAGCATAGCCATCGGGCCGGGAGGAGCCGCAGCCGTTGACCACAAAGCCAGCGACGCCCACGAGCTCGCCATTGTAGATGGCCGGGCCACCAGAGTCGCCGTTGCAGGCGCCGTTGTCCATCTCGTGGGCCAGGCAGAGCATGCTATCCCTGTAGACGGCGATGGAGGTGGCGCATTGCAGCTTCGATATGGCGCTGAGCGTATTGAATTGCAGCTGGCGCGGCAAGTCGCCCTCGTGCCAGAGCCTGCCCCAGCCGGAGATGATCACGTCGCTGCCGACCGGTGTCTCCGCGCTGGCCAGTGGAATGGCGCGTATCTGGTTGGAGTAGATGAGCGGGCTCTCCAGCTTCAGCAGCGCCAAGTCGTTCCAGAAGCTTTTGTATTCCTCGTGCACTCGCACGTGAGCCACATTCCTTATCATGCCGCCGACGAAGCGGTCCAGGGTGCCGGCCCGAATGGTGATCGCACTGGCAGGCGTGCTGCGCATTTATGTAGATGTGTATGGAAGGAAAATGGGTTAGGATTACTGGAATAGAGTCCAGCTGAGCTGCAGTACTCACGGGATCAAAGTTCCGTTCTCCAGTTGTTCGGTGACGCAGTGGGCTGCGGTCAAGATGTAGTCTCGGGCAATGATGGAGCCGCCGCAGATGTGGGCTCCCTGGTAGCGCAGCGAGATCTGATGCGGAAACTGTGCAGCACTTGCATCCTTGCCCCCGACCACGCGTCCCGTCGGCGACGATTGGGGAGCCGCCGAGATCACGGTCAGCGCCGAACAGGCAAATATCAGAGCTCTCCACATGGCGAAGCTAGCGAGTGGTTGTCGACGATGGGAGAGTGGGTCTATTTATGCACTAATCACAGTGGATTACTGGTTCCAGTCAATACCTTATCGCTGCGGGTAATATGTCTCTCTCCCGTTCGCTCTGATCATCGAACTAGATTCCATCGAACTGTGATTAGTAAACCGTGTTCCTTCTCCCAAAAATAATATAAAAGAGCTCGGGAATATCCGACCTGAAGATAACCAGGTAATAGGAATGAATGCGTTTATAATAAACGCTCAATCGGACACTTGGCCTGAGATTGTCCAAAACCAATATACTCTCTTTGCAGCTTGAGCGGGTATATGTACGTAATCGATAGCTTATCCGTCGACTGCTGAATTGTGGGCTTATCCGTCAAGGGTTTCGCCCATAACAATAAATTGCGTGTTATAAAACTATGGCTTTTCAGCCGTGTGATATATTGTGGGGGAAACTTCTCCGGCTACGCAACAGCCTCTATAAAAGTACAATATGTACGGCCTTTAGTTTTAAGAAGCTAATGCGATTATAGTCAGCTTGAGATTATAATCAGCTTATTGGCAAGTTGTCGAACATAAGTACAAATGCTGTAATCAAATTTTGATTTATACTAAAATCCCTTCTATACCATCAATTCCAATATATCATTCATATAAAAAACTTCTCTCCTATGACTCTAGATGATAGATAGGATGGCCATTCGAATTTGTAAATGAATAGATCTCGATGATCCTGAATTTTATATATGTATATGTATATACTGACTCAGTGAAGTAAATATAATCTAGATTATGGCAACAGTGAGCAATACAATGTTATCTATTTCATTGATAATTCATTCTACTGCCTTATCGAAATTAATATTCTATATTTTAGAAATTATAAAATATCCACAGAAAATGCATATTTTCTAATTTGGATATCTGTTCCAAATACATCAAAAATATTTGAAATTTTTTAAAGAGATGGATATGGAAAATTTAGAAATTATCGATAATGTTTTCATTACTTTATTTGGTCGGTCACTCTACGATAAGAGTATTCCTATATATTCAAAAATAAAACAATTACTGTAGTTAACTCTGTAGTTCTAGATTAGCATACTAAATATAGTATACCCAAATGTTAATCAAACAGTATCTGGTATATGTCGTATTGCGGTAATATGAGACAAGATAATGCCCTTGAATACTTTACGATGAGATAAGACATCGGCAATGATTAAGGATTCACGAGTACGACAAATCCGCAGCTATATCTTATCTATTAATATTTGGTGTCAATGAGTAATCGATACATTTCTAGAAGCTATTAGAGTAGAAAGAAACGTCTGAATAGAGTCTCTTGAATTCTGTATTCTTTATGAGTCTATGAGGAGAAAGTTATACACCTTTCTCGAACTATTATTATTCTTGATTTTGCTCTTTTTATCTCAAAGCAATTCCTATAATACATATATACGTGTAAAATAATAAGGATATTCAGACTTCGACTTGAGTTTGAAAACGTTTGGTTTGTGACATGATCAGCAATATTTATGGACTGTATAAATATAAATTTAGCGCAGTGGCTAAATATGATTTATATATTCAGAATTTTCTTAGTCATCCAAACACTACGGCCTAATCTAAACTAAAATATTATTGTATAATGCTTACCGGAGAGACCTTACATTGAGTATATTTGAGTATGTTTACAATAGGAAATCTGAATGGATTATCCGCTGGGCAACAACTAGACAGAGATGTTAATAGATCACATAATATTTCAGCCGTCATTTAAGAGGTACAGCTATGTAGATATCTGGTTCTAGATTATAACTGACTTTACTTTGTTAGTTCTTTCACTTTTCCGTTTCCCCGGGAGAGTGAAAGGGAAATAGATTTGATTTTCTATCTTAGATTGGAGCTGGAACTCGAGCCTCCGATTCCTATATAACAAGTTTATTTATGTCCTACTAAATGGATCGCCCAATAAACAACAGCAATCCAATTCGTTTCTTATTGGATTTTAATAATGAAAGCAGATATATATATATATTTGGTATAGACTGGTTGGGGTACATTAGGTTAGTTGCGGAGCTGCTCCTGCAGCCAATCCTTGTAGCCGGCAACGCGCACGAAGACGTCCGGATAGCGAGAGCCGCAGGCGCCGACCACAAAGTTGCTGACGCCGATGAGGCGTCCGTTGTGGATGGCTGCACTGCCGCCATCGCCATGGCAGGTGCCTTCCCTGAGGGCATGGGCCAGGCAGAAGCTCTTGGCCGGATCGTAGTCACTGTACGCGTCCAGGCAGCTGCTGCTCGCAGCTAGCTTCAGATCGAGCTGGCGCAGCTTGAACGAGGTAATGCCCTCGACGGTGGTGCCCCAGCCGGCGACGCTGACCTTGGCGCCGTCCTCCGGCAGCGCCTCGTCTATGTCCACCAGCTCAATGGTCTGGATGCGGTCCGTCAGGGTCAGCGGACTGGCCAGCTTGATGACGGCCAGATTGTTGCTCAGCTGGTTATAGTCGGGATGGGGTGTGACCGAATCAACGGTCACAATGCGTCCGCCGGCATACTGATTGGTGCTGCCCACGCGAGCCGACAAGCGGCTGGCATCGACACTGCTCCAGAGAGAGAGAGAGAGAGAGAGAGAGAGAGAGAGGTATTGAGCATATGAGCACATCCCGGCTGTGGGTCACACTTACAGCTTGCCATCCCGATAGCAGCAGTGGGCGGCTGTCAGCAGATGCGACTCGGAGACGATGCTGGCGCCGCACACGTGCGCGTTGTCGATGCGCAGGGATACGGCGTAGGGTGCGTAGTTGGCAGCGGCCTCCTCGCCGCCCAATATGCGGCCCTCTGGGGCTGAATCGTTGGCCACGGCCATGGCCAAGAAGCCGACTAGCAGCAGCAGCTGCAATGCTCCCAGTTTACCCATCTCAGTGTCAATTCGTAGCTAAGTTTTGGTACGCGAATCGCCTCCTCTTTGTCGAATGCGCAGTGCAAATGCTTCCATGTCGATGGGTTTGTCCGCTTGGCGGCTTTGCGTCGCTGGAATGCCGACTAAATCTAATCTTATCGTGGTCAGCAGCTCATTTCAACTGTTATTGCTATTATGCCAGCGATAAATTCGCAATGTTATTGCCCAATATAAAGACGGACAGCACATCGGCCGGACGGGGCTTTCAGTTTGGAAAACACGTTGGATCCCAGATAGAAATAGCCGCAACATAATTCAAAAGATATGACGACGATGAGTCAAAGTTCCAATTTGAACTGAAAACGGATTTACTAAAGATTTTCCATTTCAATATCACTCGACAGACATTGCCGTACTTCATTCAAACGATATAGATAATAGATATACACAGCATTTATCCATAAAAGAATTCAATTGACCTTCAGATTTTCCTATAGTAGAGCCTAATGCCAAAGCTTAAAGCAATCAAGACTTTTTTTCTTACAATTGCAATAGAATATATTTCATTTTCTATACATATTCCACCTGTATAATCGACTTGTTTTAACAATATATCTTTTATTCCTTACAATAAAAATTGAATTTAAGTTTTTAATAGGAGTTTCACAAATTTTTATTTATTTAACTATATTTTTATAAAATATATAAAAGATCAAAATAAAATGAATTTTTTCATGGCCATTCTCGAACTTTTATTATATGAATTAGTCTCTCTCTTCATCCCTCCTTTTCTCTCTCTACGCTTTCCTTCTTTTTATTTTTGCTTAGCTTCTGCTCTGTTTCTCTTGATCTTGTTACCTTTTCCTTCTCTATTAGTCACTATCTACCTCTCTTGTCGTTTTTTCTCTCGCTCTCTGTCTCTTTCTTCAACTTTCTCTCTCTCGCTTTTGCTCTTATGAGAAAGAGGGAAAGAGAAATGAGGGAGATAGGGAAACAGTATCTCTTTCTGTCTTATTTTTTCTCACTCTTTCACTTTCACTCTCTCTCCGTCCTATCCATTGTTCTCTGTCAATACATTTATTTTTTCTCTTCCTGTCACTCTTTCTGTCTTTTCTCTTACTTTCTACATCTATCTCTGTACTCCCATTTTCTTCATTGATCTCTGCCACTCTCTTTATATGCCTTTCTCTTGATAACTCCCGCTCCCTCTCTCTACCTCTCTTCCGCTCTGTCTCTCACTCTTTCTCCCCAACATTTTGCGTCTATCCTTATCTGTCTTGAATACTTTCCACGAACTGAAACTCATTTGTGCTGCTATCAAATCGAGTGGCTTCAATAATACGGAACCTTTGTTCGTTCTATTTTACAGTAAGCTAACGCTATCTTTCGACCATATAGCAAATGTATACGATACAACCAATTGGCCGTTAGTTAACTTCTGATATGACCCATTATAATTTATAGGCGCTATAAACGGATTGTTTGGTTCTCACATGCGTGTGTAATTCCCGTCCAGCTCAGGGCCCATAAAACGATCGTAAATTGGCAATATAAAATAAACACGCGGAAACCCAAATTTTTTTGGTCTCTTTTCTTTTATATCTTTTTTTACACTTCACTCACAGTAAAAAAATGTCCAAAAAAATTAAATACATTGACGAAAAGTTGGGTTAAGTTTAATTCTGGTTGGCTGCAATCCAGTCAAGATAATAGGCGATGCGTGTCGATATGTCGGGGTATTTGGTGCCGCAGTTGCCCCAGAAGAAGCTGACAATACCCTGCAGCACTTGGTTGTCATCGACGACAGCGCCGCCGTCGTCGCCGCGACAGATGCCCTCCTTTTCGGCTCTGGCCAGGCACAGAACGGAGTCATAGCCGTAGCCAGCCTGCAGCTCACAAAGGGGCTTGCTCAAGGTGTTCAGGCTGGACTTTTGAAGCTTGTAGTTGGTGGTGCCGTCCGACTGCTCGCCCCAGCCGGCCACATAGACGGGCGTGCCATTGGCTGGAACCTCCTCGACTTCGCCCTCCTCCAGGGGCTCGGGCAGCTCAATTTTGTTAACCCGCTCGTTGAATACTAGCGGCTTGCTGAGCGTCAGTATTGCCAGATCGTGCAAAAAGTTGCCGTACGAGGGATGGATTAGCACCGCGCTGACATCCACTAGCTCGCCCCCGGCTAGCACGTTAATGCTGCCAACACGAACCGTTAGCTTGTCGGCCGAAACGCTGTAAGGGAGAAGAGAATGTTATGAAGCTTAGCAGCATTAACATTGGAGCCGGAGCTAGAAAGGGAGCATTAGCCAGTAACTTTTTATACAGCTCCAGCTAAAGCTTAGCTTCCTTTAGGGATGAGCTGAAATTCTGCTGGAGTGTTATCGATAGTTCAAGTAGTTGCTGCAACTAGTTCACTCCGTGTAACCAGCTCCCATCGAGTAGCTCCTTTTAGGGATGAGCGCTACGCTCTACTTACGGCTTGGCGCCCAATTCGGACACACAGTGGGCGGCGGTCAGCAACTGAGTCTGGGATATGATGATGGCCTGGCATGCGTGCACATTGTTGACGCGCAGCGATGTCACATAGGGAAACTCGGCCACCTTGGCATCCTCGCCGCCAAACAGGCGGCCCTGCGGCAGGGCAACAGCCAGACCCAGGATTAGGGTCAAGCTGAGTGCTGCTAGCGAAACGCGTTGGACATTCATGGCGTCGGAATGGTAACTAATTCGCCAATCATTGGCTTAGCTGCTTGGCACTTCGGTCTGCATCTAATCTGTTTCTGCGATAAGCATTTAATATGACCTGGTCTACGTCGATTAGATTGCCGGTCATAAAACTCTGACGCCAGTATAAAAGTCTCAGACCTGGGGCCGCCCTCAATTAGTTAGAATTGAGCCCAAAATGAGCCGAGTTCAGTACAGTTGGCTGCTCCTGCTGCTGCTTGGTGCAGCTGGTACCTTTGCGGCGTCTCCCTCGAGTCGACTGCTTGCAGGCCAGGCGGCTGCTGTCGGCTCTCATCCGTACAGTGTCTCGCTGCAACGCCAGGGTCTCCACCTCTGTGGAGGTGCTTTGATCAGCAATAAGGTCTGCCTGACAGCAGCCCATTGCGTCACCACCGGCGGCGTTGAAAGGTAACGCCTCAGACAGTTGGACAAGTCTCCCAGCATTAGCATTAATAACTCGTTTCCTGCCTGCAGCTATCCGCCCCGCACTTTCCTGGTGCGAGTGGGCAGCATCCAGCGCCTGGCCGGGGGTCAGCTGGCTCAGGTTGATCGCATTGTCGTGCACAGGGAATACGCCAATGGGGTCAATGATCTGGCATTGCTTGTGCTCCAGCAACCACTGACGCTGAGCGCCAACATACAGCCCATAGCACTGGCCAGCCAGGCGCCTCCTGCTGGCGCCGAGATCACCTTCACCGGCTGGGGAGCCACGACCCATGAGGGGTCTCTCAGCCAACGCCTGCAGGTGGGCAAGCGCCAGGCAATCAGTGCAGCCGACTGCCAGAAGCTGCTCTACTTCGATGACGAGAGCGTCCTCTGCCTGGTGCCAGCATCCGAGACGGCCTCCGATGGCATCTGTCAAGGCGATGCTGGCGCGCCGGCTGTCTACAATAATGAGCTGGTTGGCATTGGCGGATTCGTCGTCGACATCTGCGGCAGTTCCATGCCGAATGGCTTCGTGAATGTCGCCCATTACCTGGACTGGATCAAGACCAACATGTGAAACTAACATTGAATCCCTCCAGATGGCTTTGATATTATTTAGCTGTGCCGACAGGATGTCTAATTTTTATATATTATATAGCTCCATAAGATCTGTAAACTTAAATTGTATCAAGCTGCACAGACGCTATTCTTAAACCGAATTTCCCCCATGCAAGACTCATTCCACAAACATTTCTAACTACCATGACTTTTTGGGTTATGTCTCGGATATTGATAAGATTTTGGGGGCATGGTAAAACTGGCATTCTTAAATGTCAAGTTTAATCAAGTAGTTTCATAATTTTTATTGCTCAAAGTCTAGCGAGGGTACAGCTTACTGCATGATACTCGCTCACACGGAGTGGATTCAGACGAATAATTTTGGATTGAATCTTAAGAGGAACTCAACAATTACATTTGTGTAATCCTCGCTTGTAAATCGAGAATATAGTATATAGGATTTATTCAATGTTTAGCTGCTTTGGATTTAGTGATATCTATGTTTTAGAGGTATATCACGACCTTTTAAAACTAGCTACAATCACCAGCAAATGGATGAATGTTGATTTCCGAAAAACAGAAGCTAATATACTATATTCACTCAGTGAACGAGCATATGAAATAAGCGAATTTGCATAAATGAGACAGAGGAACAGGTAGATACAATTAAGTTCCCTCTCCATTAACTTTGTGGAAGTGGAGAAGTCTTTTAAGCCATTTACAGTTCGTGACTGAAATATCGTATGATAATAATAAATTATTCAGTATCAATTGAATGATAAACAATTTGCTCAAATAAAGACCGAGAGGCTTGTGTGACTGTACATATATACTTATATATACGTATGTATATATACGAAAGTGAATGTGATTATGTTATCTGAGTATAGGGTATCTTCTTATTCTTCTTCTTACTTGATAAGCCTCATAGGCTTAAGGAGTCTTTTACCATGATTCTTGACAACTTTTTTGCGTTTGGGTAAGCCCAACGTATATATCAATTTTAGCAATCATATCAAAGAGATAGAACAATTAGAACAAATATGTAGATACTTTAGGCTACTTGCTGGGTTTGCTCTCACTCCCAGTATTAGTTCAATTTTGATGTGATAGTTGAGGGGATATTTCCCATTAAAAGACTTAGCGCAGCTCTAAGTTCCTAGATTTTCTACTACATTCGAAATGGGAGCTTATGTACTTACTAACAAAATCTCTTCACTTAGAGACTGAAGTTCGAAATATGTAGATATTCTGGGAAAAAGCATTATAATGTATTTTTTTTCTCTCGGTATTTTATTATCCATTTTATTTGTTATTAAAATCGATAATCTGTCGAAATTAGTTATTTAACCGTGAAAACTAGAGATACCAAATGGATTTTTAAGACTAAAGACACAGAGAATAAACGGTTCAGATTATGTACACCTGCTTGGACTACCCGCTTCAATTGAAATCTGTATTTCTAGTCGTATAGACGCGAGCCTTTGATACCTACATGCCCATTTAGATGTCATTACTACATGCTGAAATTTTTATTAGGATAGGGTATACCGATTCGAATAACTAATTTACTAAGTTAGATGAATGTAGGAACACTTTTTATATACGTACATATATCTCTCTATATATATTTAGATAGAGACAGAGAGAGAGAGAGAGAGAGACTCTTCTATGCCAAGCTCAAGGTACATAAGTTTAGGCAAGTCGATCCCTCTTAGCTAAAGAGCTTCTACATTTGTATACAACTATTATACATATATGTAGCTATAAATAAAAACAAGCCCCTGAAACGGCATAGTCTAATCTCAAGAGCAGCTATAGAGAATCGTGCTACTGTGAAGTACTATATATATTTAGAGTGAAATACTTGGAGTATGCCAAATAATTGTGGATCAATAGAGAATCAATTGATAGATAGATTGATTGATTGATTGTAGACAATTGATTTTTGACTTTATTGGGCAAGTTGACCATAAGTTATTCCATTTGCTCTTGGATCCATTCGCGGTTGGCCGCAATGCTAATGAAGCGCTCGGGCAGCATGCCGCCGCACTCGCCCAAGGTCTCGCCGGCCAGGCCGACGAGGGTGTCCTGGTAGACAGCGGGTCCGCCAATGTCGCCGGTGCAGACGCCCTGGCGCCGCTGGTGGCCCAGGCAGAGCACCTGGTCGTTGCTCTCAAGGACATCGTCGGGAAGGTGGCACTGGCGCTCGGCCTCAGTGATGGCGTATCCGACCTGGAGAGTGCGGTACATGTCGGTCTCCGTCTCCTTGGTGCGTCCCCAGCCGGAGATGTCCACATAGACGCCCACTGGTGGGTTCTCAGTGGCCAGGGGCACGGCGGCGACATACTCATTGAACACCAGCGGCTCGCTGAGGCGCAGCAGTGCAATGCCTGTCTTCAGCTCATTGTAGTTGGGGTTCACTGTGATCTCCTCCACGCGGATGCGCTGCCCGCCATTGTACAGGTCCACAGTGCCAGCCGTAACCATAAATAGCTGTGGGGCCCACCTGCAGTAGAAATTAGTGTATAAGAGTGAGGGGCGGGATGGGGTTGCTACTTACGGCGTATCCTTGCCAGCCGAGCAGACGCAGGTGAGGGCGGTCAGGGCATAGCGCTCGGCAATGATGGCAGCGCCACAGTTGTAGCTGCCGCCAATGGAGAGCGCCGCCTGGTAGGGCAGCTGGCCCGGCACGGCATCCTCGCCACCGGCCACGCGGGCCTGAGGGCCAGCGCTGACCATGGAGCAGCCCAGCAGGAGAGTCACAAATGCGCAGCTGAATTTCATTCTGTGTTCTTTTTTTTTTTTTTTTAGTTCTGATTTGCTTTGCGAATGGCTCGATCCGCGGTGGGCGTGTAGCTTTTATAGTCCCTGTGGGGTATCAGGGCTAGATAGTAGCTATGACTATCAAATATACATACATAGTGCTGGGCATTGGCTGTATCTTATCTGCATTGATGAGCTACGTCCCATCCGGTTGGCATCTGATTAGACAAGCAGTTGGCCACTGATCACCAGTTGGTGTGCCTGGGCTACCTATCTAGAAAGAGAGAGAGAGAGTGAGATAGGGAGAGGGAGACAGCAATAGAGACAATCTCAGCAAACAAATAGAAATCAATGAACTTTGATTGCAGTTGCCAGCTGGGGCTGGTTGGGGAACACGTTTGCGGTCCGACTGGCTGGAACTGTCGGGAATTGTGGGGCCAATGCACTCATCCCCAGCAGCTCGCCACGGCTGGACAAATTGAAGCACGTACACCCGTCCATTCGTTTTGGTCGGCCACAACTGGTTGTTAACAAAGCAAAGCAGAAAAGCAAAGAGCCAACAGCCAACAGCCAACAGCCAATGGCAATGGCAATGGCAGTGGCTCAAGCTGAGACTCATCCATCTTCATCTGCTTATAACGTGAGCCTCGCTGGCCAATTTCGACATTTACAGACTTGACGTCACCATCAGCGGATCTCCAGGCGCGCACACACACACACAATGATACTGCGGAACACCATTGCCGGGCAGCTGGTGGTGCTGCTGTTGATCTATGGCCGCCACACCTTGCTCTCCAGCGCCAAGACGGTGACCAGCGAGCAGATGTCTTTGGCGCTGCCGGAGCCGCGCGCCTATCTGCCGGACGCACAGAATCTGGACTTTGTCTACCACGATCACGAGGAGCTGACGCGCTTCCTAAGGTGAGTTCCACGTCGATTCCATCGTTCATAGAGATCTACAAAAGGGGTCTGCATTCCATATTAGGGCGACAAGCGCGCGTTATCCCAACCTGACGGCGCTCTACTCCATCGGCAAGTCCATCCAGGGTCGCGACCTGTGGGTGATGGTGGTCAGCTCGTCCCCGTACGAGCATATGGTGGGCAAGCCCGACGTCAAGTACGTCGGCAATATACACGGCAACGAGCCCGTGGGCCGGGAGATGCTGCTGCATCTGATTCAGTACTTCGTGAGCAGCTACAACACGGATCAGTACGTCAAGTGGCTGCTGGACAACACTAGGATTCACATACTGCCCACCATGAATCCCGATGGCTATGCGGTGTCCAAGGAGGGCACCTGTGACGGCGGCCAGGGGCGGTAAGCTGAAGACTAATGAGTTCCCCTGAATCACGAATCGATCTATATCCTGATTTCCTTTTGCCTTGTGACAGCTATAATGCGCGCGGCTTTGATTTGAATCGCAATTTCCCCGACTACTTCAAGCAGAACAACAAGCGCGGGCAACCGGAGACGGACGCCGTCAAGGACTGGATATCCAAGATACAGTTCGTGCTCAGCGGCAGCCTGCACGGCGGCGCCTTGGTGGCCAGCTACCCGTACGACAATACGCCCAACTCCAGTAAGTAGTCTCTAAAGTGTGCGCCAGTCCTTCAACACGAATGTCTAGCTCGGCCTCGCGTCTGTGAGTGTTCCGATTTATAAAGTTATCTCTCCCCCTCAATTCTCTCTGTTTGAACTTTAATCCTTGCCTTCGCACCAATATGGCTGCTCAAAGGAATCTGCCGTTCGTCCGCCCTGTGCGCGAGTGAGTAGACGTCCGCCGATGCTGGCTGACTCATCTAATCAAATCCATCTCTCTCTCTCTCTCTCTCTCTCTCCCCTTTCATTGTCTCTGTCATTGCATTTCTGTATTGTTTTGGTTATTTTAATTTGTTTCGTGTCGCACTACATGTCCCCTGGGCGCAGTGTTCCAGACCTATTCGGCAGCGCCGTCGCTGACGCCCGACGACGATGTCTTCAAGCACCTGTCCCTGGTCTATGCCCGCAACCATGCCAAGATGTCCAGGGGCGTGGCATGCAAGTCGGCCACGCCGGCCTTCGAGAATGGCATCACAAACGGTGCCGCCTGGTATCCGCTGACCGGCGGCATGCAGGACTTTAACTATGTGTGGTATGGCTGCATGGAGATCACGCTGGAGATCTCCTGCTGCAAGTTCCCGCCGGCCTATGAGCTCAAGAAATACTGGGAGGACAATCAACTGGTAAGCATCCGTGACACATGCTAGATCCACTTTGCTGCCTCGACTCCACATTTATCCATGTGATCTCTGTCCCAACAGTCGCTCATCAAGTTTCTGGCCGAGGCCCATCGGGGCGTGCAGGGCTTCGTGTTCGATCCAGCGGGCATGCCCATTGAGCGCGCCTCCATCAAGATCAAGGGACGGGACGTTGGCTTCCAGACGACCAAATACGGAGAATTTTGGCGCATTCTACTGCCGGGCTACTACAAGGCCGAGGTAAGGAAAGCAAATCGTGCAGCCAAACTGCCGGCTAGGATTCATTTATAACCAGCTCTCTGCCTGAATTAGGTCTTTGCCGAGGGCTATGCGCCCCGCGAAGTGGAATTCGTCATTGTCGAGCAGCATCCCACGCTGCTCAATGTCACGCTGCAGGCCTCCAAGGTAAGTGTGGCTCAGCTCAATCTCTAACTGCTAACTAACAACCTGGTGCTGGTTCTATCCATCTAACAAACTTCTTTATCCCATATAACTGTGTATATAACCCGATCCCCGCTCAGTATAATGTTGGCTCCTCGCGTAAGCTCAAAAAGGAACGCAAGCAACGCCATCTCCTGCACGATGAACTTCAAACGCCCAATGAGTAAGAGTGCTGGAGCACTCACAATGGCATGTGCAATGTCAATCCCCGCGTCTGTAAATATTCGCTGAGTGCTTTAGACCCTTTGACCTGCCACTGATCCACTAGTCCAAACATAGATCTCTAGAGTCCCGCTAGTGGGCTTGCACTGCACTTGAGCGATATATACACATAGAGAACAAATTGAAATTCTTGACCAAAACAGCTTAGGATTAAACTCGTAACACTAGCCAAATTAAAAAACACAACAAAAAATATACATATACATATATAAAAAATTACCTCGCACACAAATAAAATTCTTTTTTTTTTATATCTTTGCACTCGTTTAAATGAAGAAAAAACAGAAAAAAAAAACATTATACCCTGATTTCTCATTTTCAATGGGTTCAGGGTATAAAAAACGATAGTAAATATATTTAAGTGTTGTTGTTATTAATATTGTTAAGTCTCATGTTGGTTTTTGGCTTTTTAATGTGGACAATAAATATGGATTAAAAGTAAAAAAAAAAAAAAACATCATTCGCTGCCACCAACTGAAAAAAAAACTTTTGCCCACTTTCCACAGCGCATTGAGGGAATTGGAGCGGGCGGGCCCTCGTACTACCGGCCGATGCAGCCGATACCGCAGCATTATAGACCAGGCATTCCACCCTACGCTGCAGCCGCTTCTACGGACAATGGTATCTTTTCGACCATCAGCAATGGGCTGAACAGCTTGTACTCAAATATTTTCGGTTGAGTACTGGAATGCAGATCCTGGGTGTTTGTTTCATTTTTAAGAATTTATGTGTGTAGTTTTTAGATTTAAATATGTTCGTCTATTTATTATTAATAATAAGAAGAAAAGCAATAAATACAACGTTTTAAAAAATAATATAAAACATACGACTTATTTTTGGTTGGCTTATTCAAAAAGAAACGAACAACAATAGTTCACAATAAGTATCGTAGACTATTTTTTGAAAGTTCCGCCACTGCTCTGCTCATTTAATGTCAATATCGAATGTTTCGTGCTGTCTACTCATTTAACGATAGATTTTGACAGCAGGTTTTCAAATATCGATACATCGATACGACATCAACAACCATACCTTTTCATTCGCCATTTTCTTTGTCGCTTTGTCGCGCTGTGGGGTATTCTGAATTCTGTGATCAAAAAGTTGTGAATAAGCAGTGAAAATGGTAAATTAAATTAAATTGCATAAATAATATAATTAGTTTACAACACATTAGATGCAAGTGTGGTGGAATATTCATATTTTCATTGATAATTTCATACAAACTTGCGTTTTTATTTGCCGGGTGTGAAAAGCCGCACGCACCGACTGCAAAACCCATCATCAGCCTCAAGCCATTTGACTTGACAAGCCCGCACACACGTGAGGGCACATAGCTTCCAGAAACTTCCATTATGTTTACATTTTCATTTAAACAGTCTGGGATATGTGTCGCCAATTGCAAAGACTGTCTCGTATTTCTGAGAAATGAATAGGCACTTTTTAAGTGCATGCTGCTGGGTGTGTGCTGCGCTTGGCAGCAGCCGATGAATCACGCACTATTTGGGGTTAGGTCCGATGCAATAGGTGCGCAGCTTTTTTACACACGAACAGATGTGCATTCATATACGCGGTGTATCCATAAACAATGTCGAAAATTTAATTATTTTATTAATATTGATCCATATATGTGCTTTATAGGAGTTGTCATTGAATCCTGTGCGTATCCTCAAAAATGAGGCGCAGGAGGAGAAAGCCGAAATGGCGCGTCTGTCGTCATTCATTGGCGCTATTGCCATCGGTGATCTTGTGAAGAGTACCCTTGGACCAAAGGGCATGGACAAAATTTTGGTGTCCGCCGGCCGTAATGCCGGCCAGGTGGAGGTGACTAATGATGGTGCCACAATTTTGCGAGCTATTGGCGTCGACAATCCGGCTGCGAAAATTCTCGTCGATATGTCGCGTGTACAGGACGAAGAAGTTGGCGACGGCACCACATCCGTGACTGTGCTGGCCTCCGAATTATTGCGCGAAGCCGAGAAGCTCATTGAACAGAAGCTTCATCCACAGATCATTGTCGCTGGTTGGCGCGTAGCCACCCAAGTAGCTCTCGATGCACTGACAGCCGCCGCTCAGGACAATTCGGCCAACAATGAGAAATTCAAAAAAGATTTGCTTAACATTGCACGCACCACATTGTCTTCAAAGATTCTGCATCAGCATAAGGATTTCTTTGCCAATCTGGCCGTCGATGCAGTGCTGCGCCTGAAAGGCTCGGGTGAACTTAGGTCCATTCAAATCATCAAAAAGTCCGGTGGTACCTTAGAGGATTCGTTCCTTGATGATGGCTTTTTGCTGGACAAGAAGCCCGGCGTGCACCAACCACAGCGTGTAAGTGAAAGCCCAAACAATTACTCATTTACCTCTATAAATATTTGATAGTGTGTGTATGTATGTGTTTCACGCTTCCTCTAATGCTCCATATTTGCGCGTCAAATTGACTGTGAGCTATGTTTATGAGATTATCATATCACAGCCATTTTGACGAGTTTGATGTGGCAGCCACCAACTGCAAACAGCTAAGCGATGATCTGTGCAACATTTCTCTTCATGTGTTCAATTAAATAATTTAAAATATGATCCTTATCATTACAAATCTAAATTGAACCATGAGATCATATTAAACCAATCAATTTTTAACAAGTTTATTAAGCAACGGAATCAATAATTTGTGATCACAATTCATAGTGTCTAAAAGGAAAGAAATAGTGAATATAGCAAAAGAGTCCTTAATTAATTGTGAAGTGAAGTGAGCCCACAAGGTTTTAAATAGATGTTGTAGAGGCAGATCGATAATATTATAATATAATATATATAATGGTTGTGTTCTACTTTATTTATACAGATTGAGAACGCAAAAATTCTGATTGCCAACACACCAATGGACACCGATAAAATCAAAGTATTCGGCAGCAGCATCAAGGTTGACTCGTTGGCCAAGATTGCCGATCTGGAGATGGCCGAAAAGGAGAAGATGAAGGAGAAAGTCGAAAAGATTTTGAGCCACAAATGCAATGTGTTCATCAATCGCCAGCTGATCTACAACTATCCCGAGCAGCTGTTTGCCGATGCTCATGTGATGGCCATTGAGCATGCCGATTTCGATGGCATTGAGCGTCTGGCCTACTGCACCGGCGGTGAGATTGTGTCCACATTCGAGAACCCCGCTCTGGTCAAGCTTGGTGAGTGCAAGCTCATTGAGCAGGTGATGATCGGCGAGGACACACTGCTGCGCTTCAGCGGCGTTAAGCTGGGCGAGGCTTGCACCATTGTCATTCGTGGCGCCACACAACAGATCCTGGACGAGGCTGATCGTTCCCTGCACGATGCTCTGTGTGTGCTGGCTGCCACCGTCAAGGAGACGCGCATAATTTATGGCGGCGGCTGTGCTGAAGCTCTGATGGCCAATGCCGTCATGAAGAAGGCATCCGAGACACCCGGCAAGGAAGCTATTGCCATTGAGGCCTTTGCACGTAAGTAGTAAATAACAAAGCTCGTAAGCTGTATAGTTGATTAATGTATTTCGCTGTTGGCTTCCCCAGGTGCACTGCTGTCACTGCCCACAGCTATTGCCGATAACGCTGGCTTAGATTCAGCTCAACTGATCTCGGAGCTGCGCGCTGGCCATGCCCAGGGCAAGCATCAGCTGGGTCTGGATATGAACGAGGGCAAGGTTGCCGATGTGCGTGCATTGGGCATCACAGAGTCATTCGCCGTGAAACGCCAAGTCCTGATGTCTGCCTCCGAGGCAGCCGAAATGATTCTCCGTGTGGACGACATCATCAAGTGTGCACCTCGTCGTCGTGTGCCCGACAGGGGCTATTGCTAAACAGTAATTCTTCTTAAGTATTTTTGTCTAGGATTTTTTTTTAAAACCTTAGAACTCTCGTTTAACATCATCGCTAATTTTATAATTCTGTTTAAACTAATAACCACAAAGACACACACACATCCACACGTAAGCCACACACACACACACACACTTGTACGCAATTAGCTTTTTCTAAATTGTCTGTGAACATTGTTTCAAATCTGTTTTTTTGTTACACGAATTACTACTATTGCGCAAGCTCAGCTTACAACACTAAAGGGAGGACCGAACAAAAACATCTAAAAATAAAAACAAAAACACATTTCAAAAATGTCTAAAATCAACCAAACAAACAAAAAACACACACACAAACAATTTGTAAATGAATACAATTTTTGTAAACATTTTACGTGCGCAAATTGATGCGAATTACACAGCAAAGAAAAAATAAAACAAAGGAATGATATTTATGCTTAACAAACTAAAGGCTAAATGTTGTTTTTATTCTAGTTTGAATATATCTCAATCAAGATTATGAGTAGTGTAAAATATATGTACACATATATTCCGAATCGACCATCTATATAATCTATTATAATAATGTGATATATATTCGGTGCTCCAAATGAAACAATTGAGGAATAACATTGCAAAAAAATACTCTTGTCATATATATTTATTCTTTTTGTATGTTTTACAATAATAACTTGCAACTTAGTAGATCTAGAAAAAAACATTTAAAACGTGTCGGTCGAATTCCCGTGGGGGAACTGCAGTTGTCATTGGCGTGTAAAAATCAATCAATCAATCAATCAATTATTGTGATAATACATATTCAATGTATGCGGCGGAAGCAGGCACGTTGATAGCTGCTGGGAGTGTGAAGAGATTGGTGTGTTGGTGTTTTTGGCTCCCGGATTGCCAGCCGCTCCAGAATTTCAACAAAAAAGAAACACATTAACAAATTGCTGAGTAGGCGGATGGTCTACAAAATACATATATACAGTATTGCCGAGTCGGGGCGGATCTCAGACTTAACATATCGTTGGGCTAAATACACGGCCAGACGCAAGTACGACGCGAGCGAGCGAGAGAGAATGAGACTGTGTGTCTACAGCCAGATAATCAAACAGAGAGAGATAGCGTGATAGGTGGATAACAAGAGAGAGCGGGAGCGAGAGCGAGAGCTAAAGACAATAGCATAAGTCGTCGATAGTACAGTACATGGCATTAAGTGAGCGTCGTCCTACAGACGCTTTGCTTGTTTCCAGGTTGAGTGTAGCGTTCGCACATTGGCTTTAGGAGATTGCGCATTCCATCTCACCATGCTTGGGCACACAGTCCAGCACCAGAGCGACGGCGCGCGACAAGTACGTCATGGTTCCATAGCTGCCGCTGGGTGCACTGAGAGCATAGGGGAGCGGATACAGTATTTACTTGATTGGAAGAGTGATTCAAGGACTCTTACCTATCATAGAGATGTTGACAAATGTAGGCGGCACCACCGCAGAGTAACATGCCGGAGGCAGCCTGCTGCTGCTCCTTGCCATCCTTGAGCTTGGCACAGCACAGCGTCGCGTCGCCCTGCACCTTGCGCTGATCCTCTAGGAACAGCTGATTCGCCTTGTGCACCAAATGCTCGACACAGATGATGTCACCCAACGAGGGCACCATATTGTGCTCGGTGACCAGGGTCAGCACCATGAGCGCCTCGACAACCAGCTGCCTGTACTCCGGCTGGGGTATTTGGTTGAGTGCCGTCTCGACTTCCAAGGCGAATTTCAGCTCTCCCGGCGTCATCTCCTGCGTAAGACTTTGCTGCAGTACGCGACCCTCAATGGCGAGTCCCTGACACTTCTCCAGCACGGTCCAGACACGCGAGTAAAAATCACGTGGAACGCGATTCAGGGCGCCATCGAGTCGCCGGCGGCGCAGCCACTGGCCCTGGCGATCATCGATGGTCGCCGTTAGTGCATCCTCGCCCTCCGGATCGCCGAGTCCAATCTGACTCTTCTTGCTGACCCGACTCGACTTGCAGCTCACTATCGACAGATTGCCACGAGCCACTGCTATGGAACAGGGATGGGAATGAGATAAGAATGCATGGGAATGAGCCGAGAGCAATGCTTCGGCATGGACTTACCGCTGCTGACCGCAAACTCTTTGCCGCTGAGTATGTGGTAGAGCAAGTTCTTCATCTCGAAGGGCGAAAGGTTAAGTAGATGCTCCGAGGCAGCCTCGCCGTCACAGTTAAGCGTGCGCGACAGCTCCTTGGCCATGACCTGAATGATGAGGCCCACGCGCAGCCGCAACATCTCGTGGAACAGCTGCGGCTCAGTGCGTATGAACATGGCCAGGTAGACCATCAGCTCCTGTGTCAGCATCGCTGTGCTCTCATCGTCGCCGTAGGCCTGTAGCAGGGAATGGCACGAGGATTAGGATGGGCAACGTAATCGGAGATTGAGATTACTGGCTACTCACATCGTGTATTAGCTGACGCAGCTCAACCTCCGGCAAGGGTGCCGTTATGGTGTGCTCATTGTTGGGCGGCATGCCGACGGTGACCTGCTTTTGGCGCACCAGCAGATCGGTGACCGCCTTGCCCAGATCCTCGACGCGCTTGCCCAGCATGCCGGCTGTATGGCGCACCAGGCCCCATAGCTTCTCCTGGCAGGCCTTCTCGTACAGGCCCTTCAGCAGATCCCTTATAGTCACCACACGTCCCTCCTCCAGCATGCCTTCAGAGTGAGAAGAATCGTTGTTATTCAAGCTGTTGTTCTTGTTGCTGTTGCTGCTGTTATTGGCGGCGGCGGCGGAGGCGGCGGTCAGATTGGCATTTTCCTCGTCCTTAGTTGTGGGGGATGTGGCATCGATGATCACTGTAGGCACAGCCGCGGCCACAGGCTTGCCCTCACCAGCACCAGCACCAGCACCAGCAGCAGCAGCTGCTCCACCACCACCACCAGCAGTTGACAACTCGAGCATTGCATCGTCCATGAATGCTTGTTCGAGCTCTTTATTCATTTTGTTTTTTTTTTTTTTTTTTTTTTTTTGTTTTGTTGTTGTTGGTTAGTTGGATTCATTTGTGGGGGTTAGGTTGACGGGCCATTGTGGTGGATCAGTTGTGGTAGTTGGTAGTTGATGATGCAGAAGAGTTTTTGATAGATCGTTTCACCGTTAATGTCATGAAGAGCAGATGAAGCGGATTGTTATAATTGTTGGGTATTTTGTATGTGATTATTGTATGTGTGTGTGTGTGTATGTGTGTTGAATTGAAAATAAAATATATAAAAATAAATAAAATTGGTTATTAAATTAGTTCGTGGATAAAAAGCATTAATAAATAAGGCGAAGCCAACGTGAAATAATATGCGCTGTGTATAACAGTCTCTCGCAGCTTGTATAAGAGTTAAGCACCGTGTATAACAGTTTGTGTGTGATATGTGTGGGAGAAAGAGAGATAGTGTGTATAACAGTTAAACGTAAATGAAATTGTGCCACCAGAATACCAAAAATTAAATGAATCGAATCGAACAGAATCGTCTCAAAGATAATGGAGATCGAATTGGAAGAGAATATACATATGTATGTGTGCGGATATAACTAGATATGCTATGCCAATTGTTGTTTGGGTGGGGTAGTAGGTGTGGTTGTGGGAGTAGGAGTGGGAGGTGGCTTGGGTCACAGTTGCATAGCACCAACAACATTATACAATTAGCCCAACGTACAGGAAGGACACCAAGGATCAAGGATTGAATTTCAACACTTACCAGCGGCATTGTCATCAGTTTTGTGCCTTAAGCCCAGACCCGCTATGGATGCGGATAGCGATGCGGATGCGAATGTGAAGTGTGGACAAGAACGAGAGCACAAAGCACATATACAAAGAACGAACGCACAAAACAATTAAATGTCATTTAGATCGATAAGTATCGACATTAGGATCAAGCCGTTATCGATTTCACAATGGGCTTCAAGAAAATGAATTCGGAATGAGAATTGGGAAACTTTCTTTTTCTAATTTGTACATCTCTTTGATCGATTAGGTAGCCAATCGTAAAACATTGCGAATGCTCCATTGTGAAATCGTACAGCAACACCGAAACTCCTCGAGACACCCATTGAACCAGCCACGCACAACAAAATTCTAGAAGAAACTCGGAAATTTTCTTCTCTATTTCTATGTCTATAGAGTATATACATGTATGTGTGGGTGTGTGTCTGTGTGTGCGCGCGTGTATATGCCTGTGTATGTGTGAGTTCCCGCAGTGCTATAGAGGTGCGGTTCAGCATTCAGTAATCCTCAAACCGGGTGAATCGGTTAAGTAAACCCGTTTGCAAGTCGACGTCCCTACAGCTCAGTGATGAGATGAGGCCCGTGGAACGGCCACTTACCCGTATTGAAGTCCAGGCCTTGAGTATCGACCAGATATTGTAGGATGTCGCCCTGCTCCTCGAGATTCTCGGTTTCGCGCAGCATCGCGATCAGCTCATCCACCTCTGTGTCCGCAAAATTGGTGTCCACGCGATGGCGTTGAATGAGAATTTTGGGCACAGTTACTTTGGGTATTTGATCAAGTGGTGCAAACAAAACAAATCGCAAAAGTGTCAACCAAAACGAAATGATAAAGCATACAAAAGAAGAGAGAAATTAAGATTAGCACCGAATCGGAGCGAACAAAGGAAAAGTGTGCTTGTTGGATCGAGGACTAACTCTCTTGCTGGCGCACGAACTCGCTGCGGCGATCGATGGCCGAGCGGCTGTGCTGCGGATCCATGGGATAGATGTTCTCGCGCAGACCCAGATCGCCGCCCAGCTGCGGCGGCGAGCTGGGCCCCTCCTCGGGCGTGGTGGCAAAGGTGCTGACGTGACCCTGCTTGTTGGGCTGCAGCCAGGGCGGCGGCACGATCGACGAGAGGCGGCGTTCGGTCAGTGGCGTCGGTCCCTCCATGCCCAAGTTATCGGCTGGGGGCGAGACAGAGAGAGAGGGAAAGCATTTCATGAGAATGAGAGATCATCATCGTCAATCTCTATGGCAGGCACACTTACAGTCCACATTGATGGAGCGCGTCTTCTTGATGGCGCCCTTGCAGGACATGCGTCGGCGCAGATGTCGCGGACGCAGCTGGCCGCCGCGTAGATTCATGGTGCTGCGATTGCTGAACGAGCGCAACAGATGCTCATCCAAATAGGTCTGAACATCCGGGTGAAGCCGGTCCGGATAGCCGTCCTCGGTGCTGCCCAGAAAGCTCAAGTCCGTGATCGCCGAGGTGTTGAGAAAGTCCTTCAGGTTGCCCAGCATGACCCGAGTGCCATTTATGTAGCCCGACTTCAGCTTGCGCATCGTCTGGATCATGGCCAGCGGAATCTTGTCCTGGTCTGTGCGCGCATTGCAGTAGTCATAGAAAGAAAACCGTTAGCCAAATACCATCGGAATTGCATGCGCATTGTTTTGTATGGCTTGTTATTAGACTGACTGACCGATCGATCGATGCTTGGTGGGATTAGGCAAGTGGTGCGTGGTTAGCGGGTGGCGCTTACATCTAGGTTTTAATCACAAACTACAACACTAACCAACAGACGCCAAGATCAACTCCGAACAGCCGTTGCCATTCGCTAACTAATTAGCATAGACCAGCACCAAAGTTGGCTGAGTTTTTAGTTTAGTTTAGTTTAGTGGGTGCAGCACAAGCAGAGGTGCAGTTAGAGAGGGGACGAAGCGGGGCGGCTTAAGTATCTAGATTGGGAGCTAAGGGGCTAGCATTTATCCATGGGCTAGTGACTTGCAGGGAACTTGGAGGGATTGGTTGATGCGGCTAAGCAAGGGAAGGGCGTACAAACAAACTTGTGTCAACAGAGTCTTCATCTGGGTAAGGCGTATAAAAGAGTTTAGGACTTGTTTGATCCGTAACTGAAACCAGAAGAGATACAAAGATGAGGTGGACTTTCCACCCAAGCTTTTCTATAGCTTTCCTTTCATTGAGCAAATCAAAACCAAAAATCCATTTGTTAACCTCAAGATATTTCGTTTTAAGTATAACAAAAATACATTTCTTGTAATATTAAATTCAGAAGAAATAGAGCTATTTTTAACTTGGTTTTTGATATGCGAAAAGTATAGTCCAATTACAATTATTTGTTTGGGAGGAAATTTAAAAAAAACTCTAGTCTATTCCTTAAAACAAATTTTTTTTTAAGTTCTTTAAGATGAGATTAGAGATGAATTCAAATAATACTCTGCTTCTATCTAGACTGTCTTAACTCACTTTTCTTTACTTGCTACTATCTAGTCAGCTCTGGGAATTTAGACCTGAATCTAAGCTAATATAATCTAATCTAATTAGTTCCTGTCCAAGAACTGCACCCAACTCAAGCAGTTGATAGACCAAAAATAGCTATTTAGTGCTTTAAGCAAATGTCGGATCAAAATTAGCAAAGAATAGAATATAAGCGATAATTTTTGTACAGATTCGTTCATATATACATATATGTATATATAGACATCTATATGAAATTAAATAATTAGAGAGGTTTTGTATAACAACAACAAGAAGAATAAGAAGCAAAAGCGCACAAAGCTCAATACATACAAAGAAACACATTGCGAGTTCGTAAGATTAAAACCCCAACATAGCATAGAACGGATCATATCACTTGTTGTGTTTATATATATTTACATACATATATGCATATGCGTATATACATATATGTAAATATATAATCATGTGTGTATGTATGCATGTGTGTGTGTGTATGTGGTGTGTGTGTGTATGTGGTGTGTGTGTGTATATAGTATATATATATATATATATATGACTGCATATGCAGTCCTTGGTAGGAAATTTGAAATTTGCTTGATCGGGTATAGTTGGGTGTGGTTGGAGGTTTGTTTGTGGGTTGTGTTTCGTGGGTTTCGAGATGTAGTTACCTAGCATATAATGCGTTGCCATTAATGTGATTGTCGGCCTGCCCAACATGTGACGCCAATTGTTGGTCAAGAAGCCTAAGTTTGTGGTAAAATTGCTAGCGAGCAGATCGGGATCGCGTGTCGTGTAGTATTCTTCATAGTCGATATGCTGTGTGTGTACAAATTATTGTTGTTGTTGTTGTTGTTGTTGTTATTATTGGTTAAAAAGAGAGAGAACAGAGAGAGAATTTTGTTTCTACAATTTCGGCCAATTTATAACATGGGAAATCGGATCTCTTTCTTTCATTTGGTTGGGATGGGAATATAGTGCAAAGCATAGAGAAATAAATGATATCCAAGGAACAGAATAAGCTACTTATATGTATAGATATATATGCATGTATATATATTTATGTATATTTATGAGAGCTGCAAACTGATTTAGGCATACAAAACGAAAGAGTGTTGGATCGCAAAGTTTTAAGTACTGATGTGATTATCATATACATATATAAAGTAGATTCTCTGCGCAGCTGTTTGAAGACCATTTGAGAATTCTATGGCTGCAGCTTAGGCATGTATATGTATATATATATGTACGGTTTATCCTAATGTATGAATATTGAAATATATACATATATACACATATATTTATATATAAAGAAAGAATATATATTCTATAATACAAAGGCTATTCCCGATATACATACATATATCAGTGTGCGTGTGTGTGTGTGTGTGTGTGTGTATGAATATTTGTTTGTGTCTGTGTCTGTGTTTTGGTGTCCACTACCAAAGAAAAGTTTAGTTTGCTAAGCTATAAGCTATATGTATGTATATGTATGTATATATGTATATGTATATATGTAGTATATCTAGAAACCAACTCAACTAAAACTAAGCTAAGAAACTAAAGCTGAAAACAACATATGTGCAGATGTATATCTATATATATATATATCTACATATCAATATGTTCGTGTGTGTGTGTGTTTGTGTTGTGATGTTTGTACAAAATAACTACAAATGAACAATCATAATTAGAACAAAAATAAAATTAATAATAATAACAAATCTTTTTAATAACAAAATCCAAATCAAATTAATATGCAAATTAACTGTAACCATACACCACACACACACACACACGCACGCACCCACACACGCACACACACACTCACACACACACACATATATATAGGCGATAAATGTAACAATTGTACAGCTAAATACTAAATGAAAATTAAAACGGATTGGGATTTAAGCAAGGTGGACCGACCTAAGTGGATGCGCTTCAGCACGAGCGTTACTAAGGGACGACCCAGCAGATCCCAAGCGGACTTGAGAAAATTGATCTCGCCTTTAAGGATGTCAATCATGAGTTCGTTATCGGAGGCGATATAGAAGCGCGACAAGTCGACAAACTAATGCGTAATACAATAATAATAATAATCATAATATAAATAATAATAGTAATAATAATAGCACATGTGTAGGAAATAAATATTTAAAATAATTGAAATCAGAGAAGAAAGAATGGGATTTGGATAGAATAATATTGGCCTAGAGAGCGTACACACAGAGAGCGGTACAAAGTGCGTTTAGGTGGGGCCTTTTGAACCACTGTGATCCGAGTCATTTACCTGCGGAGTAAAGGCAAAGATGCGATCCTTCAGAGAGTACAATTTGCTGGTACTTAATATGCCGACATCGCGCGATTTACGTCCACTTAGTCCCAGCTTGCGATTCCGTCCCAAGTACGTGTACAAATGGCTGAGCACACGTGCCGGCTGCACCTCAATGGGTGCCACATCGGCAATCGTTTGCACATGCAGATCGTGCTCGGCCAGCTTGTCGCGAATCTCGTTGTCCTCGGCTATGATGACCACTTGAACGACAACATCGGGCTTCTTTTGGGCGCCCAGGCGACGATTCAACGGGTCCAGCTCGCCCACAGCCAAAAAGCCCTGAAAGAACATGATACAGCATGAAAAAGGAATATCCACAAGACTCGTTCAAGATGCACCCACCTCCTGTAAGAGGCGACCTAGAATAAACAGCGACTGGCCCCATAGGAAGGGACAGCGGCCAACAACTACGCGCTCCTGCGAGCCGGGCTTCTGATATTCAAAGCCCACCAAATCTTGCGGCACAGCATAGCTCTCAGGTATCAGCAGTGTACCATCCTCTGAGCGTACCATTATCTTCTCCAGCCGATTCGCATACTCCTGCACCAAGACTTTATCATTTTGAAATGCGTGGAACAGTATCAGATAGCAATAGAAGAGCGGCCATTCGCATTCAATGTTTTCAAACATGCGCAATTCCCAGCGCTCATAATAGAGACGCGAGGGATCTTCCTTGGGTGTGCGATAGCCGTCGCGCAAGAAGCGTTTGCAGCCATATTTTCCCTGCAAGCGCGACAATATTGCATCCCGTGTATTGTGTATTAGCTGGGCATCGTCAACAGCAAAAGCTGGAAAGCCAATGACACACAGCAGGCCAGAATCCAGCTCCTTACTGTTCGACTCACGCGGCAGCATGGACTGCAGCACTGCTTGGCACTTGTGCGCCTCGTCGGCAAGGACATGTATGACACTTGCGGGTCCACCGCGTGCTCCAAACAAATCCAGCTCGTTCATGGCCTCTAATGCTGCCTTAGCCATGCCGATGGAGCTGGCATTCAGTTCGGGCTCACCTGTCACCAATAAAATGCCATAATGAATGTACCTATTGCATGTGGATGGTGTAAGTACTCACCATGATTGGTCTTGTCGCCGCGTTCCCAAATACCATAGTCTGGTATGGAGTAAGCCGACTCAATGTAGAATACCAGATTTTGTATGAACGACACCTCGTCCAATGAGAAAACAATCTGAAGACCGGAGGCGGTCATTTGGGCCAGAATTAACAGGTATAGGGATACCGCATCAATTTGCAAATGGCCCCATTCGTTGTCTCCGACAACGGGCAGACCATTCTTACTGGAGTATTTGGCATGCAGCGAATCGAAGGGGCTTTGGGTCATTTTGAATCTCTCGACCTTATCTTTTTGATTCATCATGGCCATGAGCAGGCCGCGCATCAGCTTGACACAGCTTTGCTCCAGTTCATAGCACTTGGCGCGATCCTCATCCTGATCGGCGATCTTTTTGTAGGCCATTGACAGGCCCCACACAGCCAGAATGCAATACACATTGTCGCGTATCCATGCATGCGAATTGACGTTTGAGGCGGGAAATAAACCGGTCACTGGCTCCTGATGTGCCAATATTAAGCGATGCACAATTCGTTGATAGTAGTCGAGGCGAACCCCGGAATTACTACGAGAACGCATCTCGGTTTATCGTCCCCTTCTTATCTACGCGTTATTCTGTTGTTAGGACAGGTGAACGTTTTATGATCTAAATCTTGATAGTTGCTCCAACATTCACTTACATAATTACCTCTAAGAGCGTCAGTTGTCGAGTATGCGACGAGATGCTCTAAGCGTATGTAATTGTTGTCAATGTCTCAGTGTTCTCCCCCAACGGCCACCAACCCGCCGCCCAGACACCCACCCACACAGCAGCAACAGCAGCTGGCTGCACTTAGAAGCTGCTGTAATCGTTGTCAATGCACAGAAATTGTCGCATTATTGTTGTGTGTAGATAGTGGACACGTGTGCTACAAATTAATTAATAACAATCGTCCACTGTTTCAATTGCAAAAAATAAAATTAAGAACTAAATCGGTAGAAATGCTAAAATTATACTCCGAAATGTCAACTCAATGTCATGTCGACTATCGATATATCATTATTAAGACCAATATCGATTATACGTATCGACAAAATACACTAGCCTAGAATTGCAGCGCTGTCTCGATAATTAATTGAAATGTGAAATTTGGGTTGATTGGCGGGAAATTTAAATTGTCTTGCCCAGAACACATCATACTTTGTTAATCTTAGTTTTAGATATCGCTGAAATAGCTTCTAGACTATGTAATCTTTAAAATAAAATATGGCAACAGCAATTAGAGTCCATGGAACTGATTCAAAATTGCTAATATGATCGGCGGCATTGACCCTGCACATTTCGAAGCAGATAAGACTATGTGAGATGCTTTTTTGTGCATGTAGACAATACGTAAGATGTTCAATCGGATTACTCGAGTTTTTTTCATACTAAGTTTTCTATATACTAGTATTTATACTGGCCATGGTAAGATTTGATTCAAGTCTGATTTTAAAATTAAGAACTTCACGAAGTGCTTATACTTCACATCCAGAGATCTGCAAATTTATTTTCTTATCTAATGGTATCAAAATTGAAATGTCTACTAACGCTGTGGTAACAGGAAAATTGCATGTCGAACTAGATTATTAGAGAGCTGAAACTTAAAATATTTATTCGTCATAAATTCAGCGTTCTCGTTCACAGTTCCCACAATGCATCACGGCCGTCGTAGAGTGGATGGGAAGATTGGATATTGCAAGCAACGTTCCATGTGCTGGGAAAGTGACGTTGAGCTAAATCACTCCAACAGTTTCGGGTGCTCAAGTATTAAACGATCAGATCTGGTATGCTGTCCACGTCGCACACTAATAGAAATTTTCTCGACTCAATTGCCTGTTGAAAACTCCTGCTGCCCCCTCCGGGTGTTTGTGGCATTACCCCTTTAATGAATCGCATTTTCCAAGGCGAACGGGCGGACATTCAGAATTTGGCTGGACGGCTTTGCTGTTTTATTCGAACGATGGTAACTTGTCCACTTGGCTTGAACTGAACTTGTTGCTAACAACTCCAGTTTGCAGCCCGATGTGCGGTAGATCTCTCATCAATAATCGATGGATATTGACGGCGGCTCATTGTGTGATCCGTCAGTATAAAATTCGAGCGCGTCTGGGTGAGTGACTGCCAAGAGTATAAGAATGGTAACAGGGTCTGTGCTCCATCGCACATAGACATCAATGTTGACCTCATTAAGCCACATGAGCAATATCGCAGCACCTTCGGCCATTTCAACGACATTGCATTACTGCTTCCTAGCCATTCCGTGAACTATACAGACTTTGTGATACCCATATGCCTGCCGCCAGCAAAAGAGAAGTATGAGAATGCCTATTCTGGACATGCCATGGAAATCGTTGGTTGGGGAAAAACTGACAAAAGAAACTTCAAAGGCAGTACAATCAAGATGAAGGGCATATTAGAAGTCATCTCCATCTCCGAATGCCTACGAGTGCGTCAGCAGATCGACCCTGGCCAAATGTGCGCCGGTGGCCAAACACCTCAAGGTAGCTGCAAAGGCGACTCCGGTGGTGCGTTAATGCTGTGAAATACAAGCTTTGCCATTCCCACGTACTATGCCATTGGCATCATTTCACTTGGCCAGCAATACTGTTCACCTAGACGAATACCCCAGATCTTCACAAGAGTTGAGTTCTATGTGCCCTGGATAATTGATACAATGCATGCCAATTCTTAGGATTATTTCGTTTATAATATGACTGTAAAAATATGTATACATATATATATATATATATGTATATTATGTGAATGTATGTTTGCATTTATGCCATACTTTCAGGATTAATCAAAAGGTTATTATTATTTTTATGAAGTCAAGTCTAGTCTTAATCACGTCGGCTACGTTTGCGATCTGAGTGGCTGCCACGTTCGTTCTTTTCGTCGGCACGCTTGGGCGCCTTTTTGGCCATGTTCAAGAACTTGTCGAGACCGAAAGGATCCTCCTCCTTCTCAAACTCAACTGGGCCGTTACGCTGGGCGCCAGCAGTATCACGCGAACCAGCTCCAGAAAACTGTTTGTCGGGGACAAAGCGTTTCGTATTGACAATGGTATCCAAGTCTCCGCCATAGTTGTCGCTGTCTGCCTGCTTGCTAGGCCGATAGATGTGAGCGCCCATTGTGTTGGAATCGCGCCATGGCTTGTCATAGACATTGTAGGCCTCGTCGTCACCGTAGCCCGAGTCCATGCCCTTTGTGGTATTGAAGAGTCGCTGGTCAAACAGTGTTTCACCATTGCCGGCGCTCTTTGCTGGTAGGCCTAAAGCAATCTGCTCCGATATGTCACGCTCCCGTTCGCGCTGCAGCTTTGTACGTTTCTCTGGTGCAGCTCGTTGCAAATTGCGGTCACGTTGTCGTTCCCTTTGTCGTTCGGCACGCAAATCGTTACGTTCACGCGCATCGGCACTACCACCCGGTGCATCTGGTTCGGGATTGCGTAAGCCAGCACGTTCCTCGCGTGCACGTTGCGCCATCATACGCAGCATGTCCTCCTTCTTCTCCTTCTCTTTCTGCGCCAACTTCTTCTCCAGCTGGGCGCGAGCTTCGACGGCCTCACGCGCCTTTCTGTCGGCTATGTAAAGAGCTTCCGCCATTTTGGCGAACTTTTCGTTAATGTGCACTTGCTGCAGGCCACGACCATCAGCGGCCAAGCGCTTATCCAATGGTATGGTATAACCTAGTGAATAAAACGAATCATATCAATTAATTGAATGTGCATGAAATGTATGTTAAATCAAACCTTTGGCGTTCTTCCAATTTGATATGCAGGGCGGTATTTTCCATTCCTTTTGCTCCTTGACGGTCACCTTGCGCGAGGGCGAGTGCAGAACGGGTGCTGGTGGTGATGGGGGTCCGCGTGGTATCTTCTTGTTAATGCGAAACTTGGGAGGCTCCATGGGATCTTGCTGCGCCTCCACCATACGAATAACGCGCTGTTTGGCGCCAGAGTTGAAAGCATCGCCCTGCTGCGATGGCGTATACCGAATGTACTGCGCAGGTGCTGCCTTTTGGGCATGGCGCACAGGAAGCGCTGAGGTAATCTTCTGGTTGGTCAGTTTCTCTAGAGCTAGTCGTGTTTCTTCGGTTGTTTCGGCAACGGTTTCCTCGTCGGGACGCTGTAACTCCTCAGCGTCCTCGGCTAAAACCTCAGCGGGCAGCAGTTGAGATATCGACGAGTACACGATTTTGTCTTTTCCGTGACCCTGGCGGGCAATGGCATCATATTTAACTTTGCCTTTATCATCAAGGCGCACGGCAAGAGCATCTGGTTTCTTGCCCACATTGGCAGGCGCTCCAAGACCTGAACGACAGAACATGTTCATACAACTTCTATTGTTGTTTATCGTTGCAAACTTACCCAGTGGATATTGTGCTACGTGTATTTCGGGAAATGCACCGCCATCCCCAAAGTCAGCCTCTGTGCGTGGTATCCAGTCCTTGCGCTGACCGTAAGGTGGCGCTGCTATTTTGGCGGACACCAGGGCACCAATCATTGGAGCACCTTTGGCTGTCAAACGACGCTCGTCCTCGCGATCCCATACCGCGTTAGTCGGTGTGGGCAGAAGACTTGATAACGACATCAGATGTTTTTGGATATTAGTTTTTTAATCTCTAATTGATATTTGCAGATTAATAATGATGAAAACTGCTGCGAAGAAAATATGAACGCACGCACACACACTATTATACACAGTTTTCTGTTTAGTGTGACCGTTTGAGAATAATCAAAAAATACTGATACACTGTAAACTCGAAATGAAAGTAAACTATTTTCTAGTATTTAATTGAACATGAAAATTTTCGATATCAGTTGCTGAACATTGGAATTTAACATTCATCTGTAACATGATATGCTTATGTTAAACCAGCAAGCACGATTAAGTGTCTTTTAACAGTGGTGGATCAGCAACTGCTCAACCAACTGCACATTTGATACAATGCGACTGCGCTTGAGCTGCAATGCGAGGCTCACAATTGGAATTGATTTATTAAATGAATTTTCACCTACGCCATTTACAATATTGAGAAGCTTTGCGGCATAATTTTCAATTGATTTGAATTATTTGCTCTGTTTGCTTAATATTCTTAGGAACTCATTCCGCATCATCGTACAAAATAAATGCTATGAAAAGGCGACAAGATCAACATACGAGGACAGAACATTTAAAACGAAGTAACTTATTAACTAATTATTGCGCATGCGTTCGATTGGTTTCCTTGGCTGTATACGCAAACGTTTCGAGGAATTGGACGGCGACATTTGAGTACAGCTTGCGTTGTCCAGGGTTTGGGTTCGTTTGCGTTTCAAGCTTTGCAAGTCGGCGTCGTCATGGGAGTGAATTGTGCGCACCAATGAGCCAGCAATGGAGGCACAGCGTCTAATCAGGGAACCAGAATTAGAAGTAGACGGGATGTTTTCCTTATCGCCAGCGTTGCTATTGGGATCCGTTCGCAGGGTCTGTGGCAGGCGCATAACAGATGAGACCAAAGACCAGAGACGTCCTTGACGCTTCTTGTCGTTCTGTGTTGATGCGCTGTTTGGCAAGAAGACCTCGTCCTCATCGTCACTCCCGATATCCTGGACGCAGCTGAAGGACTTTTGATGATGGCACACACGCAGTGGCGGACGTGCTCGTGGTCCTTGAGGTCGTGATCTCTCAGCCCGTTTTGTCTCTGCCATGAATTGACCGCTTAGCTGGCGCGGCACAATCTGCTGCCTACGTCGCTCACTGTTGCTGGGCCCAGCACTCGGGCTGCCAGCAATGGCCGCCAATGGGCTGTTGCTCGGATTGGGTGTATAAAAGATTTCCTTTTCATCTGGCGTCGAGTTAGCCATTTGAGTTGTTTGCATATTTGGTTTCAGAGGCGTCTCAAACTTGATGAGCTTCTTGTTGATGATGGCGCCGGGCACACTTGTGATGGGTGTTATCGGCGGCACCACCACGGGGCAGTCGACCTGGGCTGGCCGTAAGTTGGTGCTCAGCTCGGCAGTTGATGAGGAGGAAGTGATTATCTCCACACTCTCACAGGAATTGTAAACTGTGCTCGTGGTGCTGGTGCCGGCAGCGGCGGCAATCAGCGAAACGCTGTTCCCGGCATGCTGGGTGCGGGTTATGATAATCGACTCCCTTGTTAGCTTCTGAGCGGAGAGCAGTATCTGATAGGATTCAGGACTCTTCAACTCCTGGCCATGGTTGTTGTCGCTGCCAGTACTGCTGCTATTGCTGTTGCTGTTGCTATTGCTATTCCTATTGCCGCTGGAGTCGTCGCTCTGCGTGCGTCGAACTACTGGGGACAGGCGCAAGTCCAGTGGCAGGGCGGCATTGGGTGACCTGTTGACCTCGTTCAAATCGAGGCGCATGCGCCTCTGCTCGCTCTGGCCAGGGAGCATGCCCACGGCGCCATGCTCCACGAAGGCCTTCTGTATGCTCTTGGACATAACCTGACGCAAGGGCGTCACGGCGCTCATCTTGCCACGGCCACCAACCTTCCAGGTGCGCTGATGCTGCGGCGGCACCAAGTGGCTGCTGTCTGGCGCCGCATTAGGCTCATCCATAGCATATCCGCTGTGATAGATGCTCGACACCTGACCGCCCCCAACACTGGATGCGTTAAATGTTAGCGGCTCTTTGGGCTTGGCGAACATCGTGTAGACCTGCAGCGGCGTTGATGTGGAGCGTATGACCTTGCCCTTGCTCTTATCATTGCAGTGCACACTATCTGGCTGCGCACACACTTGTCCAATGCTGCGACGCTGCTGCCCGGACAAGTTTACACTTTCTGACGACAGATTGCGTATGGATGAGACGCTATCGCTTATGAATTCCTCCTGAGTCAGACGACCTTTGGCCTTCCAGCGTAGATTAAATAGCGATATGGGCGTTAAATTCAAATGCTGATGCGTTTCGTCCATCTCTTTAGCTATGTGGGGCGAAGTCTGTGTTGATATAGTATTGGCGGCCACAGTTGCCTTTTTCACCGTTACCTTCGAGGCCTCCGTGTCGTAGGTCGCATTCTGCGCCGTGCTGGCTGCGCTGCAATTCTGACCCAAGTCAACACATTTGCTAAACTCTTTCAGGTCATCGATCTTGGTATAATGGCGCAAGCACTTGCGACAGCGCAGCGGCAGGTGCACACTCTCGATGTGGGCCAGCAGCTCGGCATACATCTCTTTGCGCAGCGTGAGCGGCTTTTGCTCACATATCGGACAGAAGACATAAATGGTTGAGGTCTTTACCTCAATGTCATTGCCAAGGCCAACCATCTTTGAATGCTGCTCTATAGGCTGGGTTACGGCAATGGCGTGTGCTTCGAATTGATGCTTTTGGCGGCACTTGCCGCAGCAAAAGATTCGTTTGCAAATATGGCACTTAACCTACAAGGATACATGTACGTAGATTCAAAATATAAACAAAACATTTGCAAATTATGTGTAATATCTAACCTCATCAGAAAAACGCATTTTATTAATGGGGTAATTCAATTAAAATTGCAATCTCAATTATAATCAACTTAATTTTTCCATGAAGCACTAAACTAATACAGATATGAAGTTACAACGGTTCTTTTCGTACATATTTGCATGCATGCATTTAAATAGAATGGTCAGCCCCTTATTCGATATACAATAAATATCGATTACACTAATGATAGTCGTGGGAAATTATGAGGTAATTATTTGGGACACTATAACGGCTATTTTATATGTACACCTTTTTCAAATGCAACCGTCACATATATGTACATATATACACATATGCAACTATGTATGCATACATACATATGCGTTGCAAACATGGCTGCCTATTGTGGACAAATTTTTATTTTACAATTTTACGCTAAATATATACATTCATACATAGAAATGTATATTAAAAGACAGCTTAAAGCTACGCTTTGGTAGCTTTCTAGGAGAAACTTCATAATTGCTTTATTTGCATATAATTTTTTGATTACAAACTGCTTATGTCATACAAAAAATGTAATATGATCTGTAAGAAAAATTGAATGACTTTGAATGTGTTGTTTTGATTGTGGTTTTCTTTGAAAGAATTAAAAAATGTAATACGATCTGTAATACAAAAAAAATCCAATTCCTTTGGATATACATGCACACATACATTTGTGTGTATTGAAATGAGTGTGGATATTAATAAGAATGAGTATTAATGGTATTAGAAAAAGGGGTCTCAGGCTTAGCTGTTTATACCCCCTTATATGGACGGTTGGGCTTCAGAAATACATTTCTGTATACGCATATGCACTCCGCTGTCCGTGTACATTGGGATGTGCTTAAGTACAAAACTGTTCAGGTCATTGCCGCTCGAGTCGTAGATGTTTTCCACGAAAAATAGATCAAGAAAGCCAAAATTAATATCGGCTGTAAAGACGCAATTAGGCTTGGCCGGAAGATTGAAAAATTTATGACGCACCAACTTCTTGGCGTCGTCTGGCCAAATGCGCTCCATGTTAAAGGGAGCTAGACCAGTGATGCGTAGGTCGTACGCTTCACAGGGCTCGTCCTTAAACTTTTCATAGCAGATCAGCAGTTCATTTTGCTTAACTATATAAAATTCAACGCCAGAATCCAGCTGCTTGACCTCGATGCGATCTGCAGATTCGATTCGAGTTATGCCCACGCGTTGGTAGAGATTGTGAATCTTCAGCACGTATACATCGTTAATCAGGGGCTTTGTGCACCTCGGATGGCTCAACATGGATTCATAGTGCAATCGAAGCTTATCGCCAAAATATGACAAGGGAGTGTTCATGTAGTATCTGGCGGTAGCTTTCTCAATTAGCCTCACAGCGGTCTGGGCCGGATTCACGCTCTGTTGGTTGGATAACAAGTATTTGAATTATAAGTATACACATATGTAGAAAATGACCTATTGTTCACTTACTGAAATGACGTAGAATTTGATTGTGCCCTTGGTAGGAGCATCGTCCAACGGCTTCGTTTCGTGGTCCCACAGAAAGTGCCGAAAGAAGCACAAGTGGCGTATACAATTTCCATAGGACTTGAGCATGCGGCACAGCGGAAAGTCTGAACGCGACTCAGAGGTATCGGAATATATTCGGCATTCGTTTAGTATCGTCAGAAAACTTTCGGGTGGATGGCGACTATGCTTGAGCATAAAATCGCAAAATAACCAAGCTTGTTCAAATTCGCTGGGACGCATGACTACAACCGATATGCCGTGGAATTTTTCTATACCACATAGATAGTTGTTATAGAATATGCTGAACTGAGCCTTAAAGAATGGCCAGTTACTGTAGCCGTAGTGAACCAAAAAGTCAATACGTCCGCCACGCAATTTATCAATCGCATCCTCAGCGACAACTAGCACACGGCTCATATGACTCTTGCACCAATCCTTATAGAGCTGGTTTGTTTTCTGATCGAATTGCTCAATAACCAAGTTGTCGATGCTCTTGGTGTTAAGTAGCTTGCTCAGTGCAGATACATCTATATTTCCGCTGCAGGCCAGCACTACGCGCTTCTTCATCATCTGCTTTTCGGCGAGAATTTTCTGTATCTCACCATTATAATTTTTTGATACGATAAAGTCAAAGTTGATTCCAGCAAACATAGCCGCTTCCAATGCGTCCTCGAACACGAGCAGAATATCGGGCAATTCCCTCATCAGTGGCTTCATAAACGAATCAATCCACAAACGTCCAACGACGAACAACTGGCTGTGGCCCTTCTCAAAGCGCAGCACGGTTAAGATCCAGTATATTATCTTCTGGCAATGAGTTCTGCCTCCACGCCAGATGCTATCGATGCCATCGAAGGCAACACACTTTAAGGCAGCCGGGTTGAAGATGGACTTTGTTTTGCCATTGAGCATATACAACTTCACTAGATTGTCAACAGTGGCTATCAAGATGCCGCAAGGTTTTCTCATAGTTTCGGCAACCTCTTCAATACAGTTACGGCTGAGTGCTTTAACAACTTGCACGAAATCCAAGCGCGTCGGGCCTAGCAATCCCATACACAACTGAGCGATTTCATCCCCCTCATTCTCATTCACGCAAACTATTATGCAGCTGGGGCCGCGATCGGTGTTATCCAGTATACGCGGCGGTGTCTTCAGTATGATGTGCTGACACAGCGTGGGCAAATAGCTCCAGGTTTTACCAATTCTCTCATTCCCAATTATGCACATGGAGCCACCAGAAGCTGCATGTCGCCAAGCAAATCGCTGTACGCGCTTTGCTCGCATCTGTCCAATATTCTGGCGACGCAGGGCTTCCTTCATATATGGACTAAATTCAGGCACATCATTCGCGCTGTAACAAGAAATCTGTTCAGTGCGACTCCAAGTAAATATGCCAAAGGTGGTGTAAGAGTAAGGACGGTTTTGGGCTTTGGAGCTCTGCTGATTGTTTGAGGCTTTTTTTACATTAACACCGTCACTATCTTTGGCACCTGAAACAGACAACGCATTGACCTCTTCAATCTTATTCTTTGCAATTGAATGTGTTTCATCTAACTCGGCCGGCGCATCGACCTCTTGAATCTCACTGTTTGGTATTGGAACCATTTTAGGATCTGTAGAATGTGTTTCATCTAACTCGGTCGGCGCATCGACCTTTTGAATCTCACTGCTTGGTATTGGAGCCAATGGTAGTATTTTAGGATCTGTAGAATGTGTTTCATCTAACTCGGTCGGCACATCGACCTTTTGAATCTCACTGTTTGGTATAGGACCCATTGGTAGCATTTCATCTAACTCGGATGACGTATTTAAAGTGATTGACATTGATGAAATATTTTCTGATGAATTTTGTATGTTCTGTGCAGTTCCTGCAGTCGGAATTGTTTGTTTTTGGGCGTCTAAGGTCTCATTCTTTTGCTCACCAGTTTTTTGCTGTACCAGATTTTCGATTTTACGTTTTATTACTAGCACCTTCGTCCCTTCAGCAGGCTGGGGAATCAGCAGTTGCAAACGTTTTTGAAAAATATGCGGCAATGTCTGGGTGTAGTGCACCAGGAAGTTAACTTTTATATTGCCGATCTTCGACAAATGTTTTAACATTGCATCGCATACAACCAAGACGGAGTTGAGGAGCTATCAGAAGAAGCACATTGAAGTTATGTGACATATGCGTATAATTTAAACCATTGGACTACTTACACCGTCGTTCCATAACAGGATACCTGAATCAATTGCCTTGGAAGCCACATTTACCAAGAGGCAGCCAATGCTGCGTTTGCCCAATTCTTTCAATACCTTTGCTGCCTGATTTTCTAGTTCACAGACAACCACAATGCGTACAGTATTAAAATCTTTAGTTCTGAGGCATGTGGCCAAGAAATCAAGACCCGCATCTTCAGATGATGGCGTCACATAAGTATATTCCACATCGTCGCAAATATAATTTGTGACTTGCTCATTTCCACTTAGATTTCCGTTCTCATTTATTTCCGCTGACAATGTAGCGTTTTCTAATAGTGGCTGTGTGTTATACTGGTCAAGCCTGATAGATGCTCCAAAAGCTCTATATAAGTTTGCTCGACCCATGCCACCAATTGGCTTCATCAAGCTGAATAACAAGTAATGACAAATTTCAGTACGATCTGCTTAGATTAAGCTCTTTTAACACTTTTAATATATATTTACCCAGAATTAGAAGCCGCATTCATAGCTGCACGGAAAAACCAGTACACGCCACAAAGCAAGTCAAATGTCAAATTGAAAAAAGTGCAAGCTAAGCAGTTATCGCAATGGCGCCGATAGCGATTATTACAAATCCAGTGTTAGTAAACAATGTCTTTCTTATACGGTATCACTTTGTTGTGTGGTTAGTGAGGGTATTAATACCTGACATTAATAACATACATGGATATACAAGAAACAAAAAATTAATAAATAAGCTAAATAAAACAAGGTTTTTTATCAATACATTTTATGTTTTATAATCTATATTCATAAAACTTTCATAGAAATTATGACTATTGTAATAGTTCTAAAGTAGTGTCTGTGTAGTTTTTTATAATTAGAGAAATTATATAAATTAAAGATTTTATTAATTTCGTAAATAAATATATATATTTAAATTAATACCTAAAATCGTTATTTATATCTATTTCGGTATTTTCGTATTGGAAGCGCTTGCAATTATGGCCACACTTGGCTTACAATTTGTGTAATGTATCGATATTGTTAATATCTCGAACATATGTATTACGATAGTTAATTCAACAGCCCTTATCAAATAATAACTCGGTCTGTTTATCTATAATTTGTGTACTTTCGGCTTTAACTATTGCTGTGATAACAGTTTAGAAAATGGACGACATTAATAATAACTTTAATCCAAATAAGCTGCCATTAGACGAACTAAAGATAACAATTATTGGCAACGATGGTGTCACACGAGAAGTGCCTGCACTTGTAAGTATTTAAATTAAGCATATCCAAAACTAATAATAGCTATAAATCCTCGAATATTTACTACAGGATTCTCATTGGCTGGCGCCTGATAAGAAATTTAGTGGTTATTTCTGCTTGCTAAGCACCTTTGATACGCTCAGGTCGGGCGCCGAATTGGACGAGTGGCGTTACCTTGCCATTAACGTCGAGAAAGACTTCAAGTTCCTTCTTCAATTAAAACATCATGAGTAAGTGCACATTAGGTGCAGACACACACACATAGCTCCATCCATACATTGTGTTTTTTTTTTTTCACTTCGTTTCTTTATTGTAGATCTATTTCTCAACTCTATAGTTTTAGATATGCCTTAACTATGAGTTTTTGCAGCAGATCCCCACAATTGCATTATATATTTTCCTTTTGCTATATAGTAACAATATGCAATCGCTTCTTACCATCCAGTCGAGTTTTTTCCCATCCATACTAAATTAAATTTACATCTACAGATTCTGGTCATATATGGTGTATAATAAAGCGACCAAGGCCTGTCTTCTAGCATTTCTTCAGGGATGCAATCCCTGCTATCGACCGCGGAGCCATGAAAATGAGTCAAGTGATGAACAGGTCAATGCATTGGCGTTTTATGAGCATCTGCTCAATCTGGCTGTGCGCGTGGTTATGCGTCTACTTACTTCGAATGAATCGCCTACAGAATGGATTAAACCGGAGCATCACAGCAACCTATTGTATAACCACTATCTGATGTCTGTGCCGTTGCTGTGCGATTTGGTTATTGCACTGGGCGATGTCGATGAACAGAACGTGAAAACGCTGCAAAATATATTTGATACTCTGGTGCGCATTCAGCCGAAATACAAAAGAGACATGATGGAAGGTTTGTCATTCTTTGAGGATGCATTTCTCAGCATGCAGATTCAGGTGGAGAACGAGGGCTGCGAAGGTGCCGGCGGTGGCCCCCCCCTGGATCCTAATGCCGATTCGCCCTACGACGATGTTGTGGTATTTGCCTTAGATTGTGCCTATACGCTACGTTTGCTCCTCCAGTATAGCCCTTCTCTGTTTGTGGTCTGCGAAGAGCTTAAAACTGTACAAAGGTATACAAGAGAGAAAAAAAAAACAGACAGACTGTGAGAGAAAAAGGGGGATAATATTATACTGACCTGTTTTCCGTTTCTTCACAGCATTTCCAATTTCTACGATCTGACCATCCCAATGCTAAATAAAAATATCTATCAGATTAAAGCAGATGCCAAGTCCTTGCCCTGGCTGAACGAGGCGCGTCAGCAATACCTGCTCGCTGTGCACTACATAGCCAATGGACAGGTGCAAGCTGGTCATGGCGAGCAGCTGGTGGAGTTGCTGCAGGAATGCCTCTCGGCGCAGACCTTCATTGTGGACCTTCAACGTAAATATCCGGTGGAGGTCTATCTCAAGTTGCTCATGAAGAAGTGCCCCGACCTGTGAGTGGCTGTGTGTTCAAAACTTGATGCGAACTCTCGTTTATATATGTACAATCTATGTAGCAAAAACTACAATTTGGACTTCTTGATAAGCGGCTACCAGAAGGCGGTTAGCAGTTGCCCCCTCGGCACCCTTGCCGACGCACTGCTAGCCAATGGTCATAACTCTGATGATGAAGCTGGCGCATTCATCTTACCGGTTGAGCCACTTCGCGTGACAACGCCTACAGTTGCTGAAAATGGAGCTGCTCGCGACCTGGACTTGGAGGCGTCCGCTGTGCTAGATGTGCTCCCGGACCTGGGAATGGGCTTCATTCGACGCGTACTCACTCGTTACGAGAACAGCGAGCAGGCGATTGCCGCCATATTGGATGAGAATTTGCCGCCCGACTTGGCGAACGTGGATAAACAGGAGGTGTACTTACCAGACGATCCGCAGGACAAATTGCAAAGCCAAATTGGTGTACGCCACTACAATGTGCACGATGGTGACAAGTACGACGTGCTCACCACTGACAACCCGCAGTGCATCATTAAGAAGGGCAAGGGGCTGCCTGGCGGGCCGCGCAACGCAGAGCAGTTGTTGGACGACAAGCGCGACATTGGGTTAATGAGGCAGCGCTATGAGCAGTACTCCATGGTAGAGGAGACACCACTCGAACGTGGCGACGAGTACGATGACGAGTACGACGACAGCTATGAGGCATTGAACGATGGCCAGGCACCGCCGCTGAGTTTGTTGCGCGAAAAACTGCAGCAGGCATCAGCGACAGCTGCTAGCAGTGCCTTTGAGGCCCAAGACGCTGACGAGGATAACCATGCTGAGGCTAGCGATGATGATAACATGAATGCGACAAAACGTGACGAATTCTGTGAGAATCCAGAGCTGATACGCGCACGCTATCAGCAGCGCCAGATGGCCAAGTACGGACCGCGTGCCAAAGCGGAGGTAGTGGGCGCACCAAAAGGCCAGGGCCAGACACAGGAAACGACACGCAATCGCAGCCAAAAGGAAGCACACAAATCCTCGCGCGCCAACCACAATCGCAAGTCCGGCGCAGCGTTCAAGCGTAGCAGGGGCATGATACCCTAACTTATTCAAATATCATAACACATCACTCGTGATATCATAACTCATAATGTATAACGGGCCTTCAACTTTCCAATCAAATGAAATTGTATACTGAAATATGTTGCGGCAGCTAAATATGAAATGAAAACTAAATAAAAAAACACAACACAGCTACTGAAACAGATCAAAATTAAAAATACGAATAACACTTGAAGAAAACGGATTTATTTAAAATTATGTCAATAAAAAAAAAAATAGTGCAAAATTAAAAATAAAAATATGTTGAAAACAATATTAAAGCTCTTTGTTTTGGGTTCAATTAGAAGATAGCTGCTGCTGGTGCTCCCTATATAGGACGTTGAGTGCTCGCATTTTGGCGCTGTGGCCGCTCTGCTGGCACTTGCCATAGTTGGCGCGCACGAACTCCTTGTAGGGCGTTACCAGCTGATCGGTGAAGGACAGGTTATAGACGTCGTCGGTGCAGGACTCTACGTTAACCTCGAACTGGCAGTAGAAGCAACGCAGCCGCGACGCCTCGTCCTCGAACTTGATGCGCCCGAAGGAGCGGGCACGGCACAGAAGACAGGTGTACTTGTAGCTGGCATTGCAATCCACTATTTCCGGCAGCTCGGGCATCATCGATTTGGCGCGATAAGCCCTGCAGTTAATGAATATTATTTATAATGATAAATGCTTATAAGTATTGTCTGATCTCCAATTGGACATTTACCATTTGCGACAGTTATCGCCATGCCCCGTCTCGCCGTGGTACTGAAAGGCAGCCGCATGGCACATCTCGTGGAGCAGCTCCTTCACCACCATTCCGGGGTGCTTGATATTCTGCCATAGGATAATGCGCGATCTGCGCTGCCCACCAGATTCGATGCGATGCTCGATGCTGCTGAGTGAATTCATGCAACTCTTCCACACAATTTCTGGGCGCAGACCACAGTGGAAGATTTGGTGGTTGAGTATATGGAATAGGGTCTTAGCCAGATGCTCCTTGCACGCACCAAAGTCCCGCTTTCGATAGTTCACAGCGAGCGGATGACACATATTTAAAGGCGTGGTCGCTGCAAAGATCGTATCATTATACCATTATATTTATGTTATATCTATCAGCTTCACTATTGATTGACTCACATCGCAGCGAATCCACAAAGTTGTACAGGGCCGCATGAGGCCCGATCATACTGGCAATCTTCTTGTGCTGTTGACAGGTGAGCGCACGCTGCTCCTCGCTGGGTAAGCCGCTCAAGTCGATGGGCTCCTTGATATGGTCGGGCGTTTGGCTCTCAAAATAGTTGGCATTGGCGCGCTGCACCATGTCGTCCATGAGGAGCATCTTCATTTCATTGGTTAAGTTAGAGCCGAGGGCTCTTATACGAGATGGCTCCGGATTGCGTTTATCCGGCACTGTGGGCGTACTTTGGGCCTGGACGTTGGCATTGGATGTCCATAAGCGACTGTGCAACAGCGACGGAGGTTCGTCCTCATCCATATGGTTGTCCTCGTACTCAAAGTTAGCCATGGGATTGTAGAGACGGCGCTGCCGGGCAACAAGGCCCAAAAACTTTTGGAGACGTATCTTCAGCTCACTATCGAACTCGACTGTCTCTTCAGTCGTTGGCTCGCTGGTAACAATGGCAACTGGTCGACTCAGATCCAAATAGATGAACACATCCGATTCAAGCAATGAGCTGGCATCGCTGCTGCAGCAGCTGTTGCGCATGGAAATGCGTCGCTGTTTGCGCGTTGGCTCACTGTGATTATCTTGAACATATTCTTCGTCATCGTCGTCGTCATCCTCGAGCTCGTTATCGCCAAAGTCGGGATCATCGGAATCATCTGAATCCACATCCTGCGGCTCCGAAGAATAATCAAACTTGTTATCAATCCTTGCGCGGACAGCTCGTCCGCTGCGCGTTGTCGTCACATTGCGTTTCAGCACGGGCGATGCATTCACATCTGCGCCCAGATTAGGTGCATTCAATGGTCCAGCTGTGAAAATAAACCACATTATCATATTTACAAGTTAAGATCCCTATTACCTACATTTACTCTCCTTCTTGATGAGGTAGTCGTCGTGCTTGCGCTTAATGGGCGTGCTTACAATATTATCCATAATGCAAGATTCTTCTGCAAGAATTAATTTCGATTTTAAGTTTGAGTTTGATTTTGATTTTGACATTAGGCCATGCTACAACTTACTAGTGCCATTGATATTGCTGTCACTTTCGGTTTCTGGTATGGTTTCTGTCTCCGAATATTCCCACTGATCTACCTCTAATACTGATTCATTTGATGATGTGCTAGTATCTGATGACCAAAATATGCTCACATCTGACGAGGCACTTGAGGAATCAACAACAATCACGTCCGAGTTCATATCCGTGTCGTCACTGTTGTCCATTTCACCTGCTGTTTGGGGCGTTCTGCACGGAAGATCGTCGTGAGTGTCGTTTGGCACTGGTGGCTGTAGTTTGAATAGTTTTGTTTATGAACCATCACACAACACATTGGGCTTGTTCGACCAATACTAACCGTGTTCGAGCCATTTTTGGTGTTGGCAAGCTGTGTTTCGTTATCGAGGCTTAAACTCTGCAATGCCTCCAATATATTATTGTAATTCGACATCTTGTCAGACATTTTTATTTCATTTTCCGTTGTCTCTTGTCGAATATGCCGGCATCATTTAACAGAAGTTACGGTAGCGCTGCCAGACCGTTGCGGTTCGCTCGTGACTATTGCGTGTACTCATTATAGTTGGTTGTTATCGAAAATTGCGCTTCGCTAATCAATGTTTACCAGCTCTAAAAATTTCTTGGTCAAAACGCCGGAAAATAGACGGTCTATGGTAAAATTCTATTAATAAAGTTATTTAACAATACATTAAGATGGGGCGACGCTCCATAAATACCACTAAAAGTGGCAAATATATGAATCCCACAGACCAAGCCCGTAAGTACCACTTACCTACAGTACACACATACATATGCTAATCCTCGTGCCCACATAGGCAAGGAGGCGCGGAAAAAGGAGCTCAAGAAGAATAAGCGACAGCGCCAAATGGTTCGAGCTGCGGTGCTTAAGAACAAGGATCCATCACAGATACTTGAAGAGATGGAGAAGATCGACGAGATGGGTAAGTGGAATTACATTTCATTCATTAGCAACCTACTTACTAAATTCTATATGTTCCATATCCTCATGTAGAGTACAATGTGCTGCAGCCGTCGCCTCTTAATGAAAAGGTTCTGCGCGATAAGCGAAAGAAGCTAAAGGAGACCTTCGATCGCGTTATGCGACTCTATGTAAGTACATCAATAAATATTCGTATATCCCCATATATTAAGAAACTCTACATAGCATAACGATGAGCCAGAACACTGGGCGGAACTGAAGCGCAAGGAGGTAGACTACGAGAAGAAACGACTGAAAAAGCAACAATATTACGAAAGCGTTAAGCATGCTCAAAGCGTACAAGTCGATGAAATTCCACTGCCAGCGCCAGTGACAGCAGCCAATGCCAGTGGAACCGGTGCGAGCACAGGGAGCAATAATAACATCATCTTTCCAGGTGGTTCAGGTGGCATTCGTATGCCACCGCCCCCTATGACGTTAGCCCTACCGCCTTTTGCCCCTGGTGCACCGCCGGGTGTGGCTAAGAACAGCGAAGCTGCGGCCGATTTGCACTCGGATAAATCCAAAGATGACGACGAGAAAGAATGGCTGGGTGTACCGGCAGGGCCGCCGCCAGATTTGTTTGCCATGCCGGAGCTCGACTCGGATGCAGAAGGTAACACCGACTACGAGGGTGATGCAGAAGAAGCGGCCACCAGCCCCAAGCTGCAGCAGCGAATGCAGAACATCGACGACTTCATGAAGGAAATGGAGCATGTGCACAAGAGGAAGCATCGCAAGCTGCAGAGCGACGAGGAACACGAAAGGGAAACAGCAAACAAAGACGACAAGCGGGACAGCGCTTCAGAGAGTAAATCTCCGCCAGCCCGGCGCCGTTTAGCTAGCAGTCACAGCAGCAGCAGCAGCTCGAGCAGCGAAGACGACGATGACGACGAAGAAGCGAATGAGGATGTCGGCTCTGATGCCGATGCCAAGCAGCCCGCAAAAGAGACAGTTAAGCCAGTGGCAGCTGCTGCGACGACAGTGCCAGCACCGCCAACGGCGCCTTCATTGCCTGCCATCCCACTGCCGCCCAGTGCGCCGGCGCTGCCACAGCTGCCGCAATTGCCGCATTTGCGCAACATCGCGCCGCCGCCGGGCATCATGTTCCGACCGCCCCCTATGCGGCCACCTGGGCCGGGTCTGCCCGGCTTTGGTCTGCGCATGCCACCGGGGCCCCCGCCAGGCACACGACCGCCGCACGCTCTTGGCCCGATGCCGCGCATGGGCATACGCATGCCGCCGGGTCCTCCGCCAGGCCTGCCACCGCGCATGAGTGGCCACCATCCGAAGCATGGCAACGCCAATGCGCCGCCAAGCAAAGAGCCTGGCAAAGGCGTCACCATCATCACGGCAAAGCCCCAAATCAGGTATGTTCTCCCGATAACCTTATGAATCTTCTCCCTCCTCAAGGTCTCATTGTGTGCTTTGTAGGAATCTGAGCGCCGATGTCACACGATTTGTGCCGTCCACGTTGCGCGTGAAGCGCGACGATCAGCGACGGGCCGCGCGGGGCAAGCAGCAATCCGGCGTCCACGAAGTCAGTGATCGCGGTGTCCACGCCCCGCCCGAGACCCACAAGCCGCCCACCAAGGACGACGCCTACCTGCAGTTCATGAACGAGATGCAGGGCCTGCTGTAGCACGGCAGCCGCCTGCTCCCGATGGCCAGCCTAACTGATTGTACATTGAATGCATAGTTTAATTTCGTTAAGCGTACGATAAGAAACCAAATCCAAACGAGAAACGTTTACACCGGGGGAAACTCGAGAAGGAATAACACACATGATAATGCTCAAATTGAGGCATATATTTATATTAAAAAAAAAAGAAAGTAGTTTTTAAGAACATTTCTAGCGACAGAGAAATACATTTAATTAGTTCAAGCGAAAACTTTATTGACTTGAAATCGAATATATTTCATTATGTATATTGATTTATGTTAACTGGAAGCCTTTCCATGTCTTGTTTGCTTGTCTTACTCGGAGTATTTCGTCTTTTATTTATGAGTTTAATTCAAACAATATCCAATTCATCTATCAGATTTTCAACAATAACTCTCGACTCTCATTTGTTGTTGAATAATAATAATAATAATAATACAAAACAAAAACTATTTACATTTTTATAGCGAGTCATATAAATATATTTCCGGCAAGTGCTCCGAGAACTTTACTGATTGATTGCAGTCATCACCTATGTTGTTTTTGTTGCTGATGCTGTTGCCTTTGCTGTTGTTGCCGTCGACTTCTTCTTGGCGAAGGGGCGCATCTCCACCAGGTCGCACTTCAGTGAGCGAATGCTGCGGCGCAGCGAGCTGGAGATCTTTTTGGTGTAGCTGGTGCTGTTGCTGCACATGGAGAGCTTGTCGTCGTTGACCGCCTGGAGGCTGGCGTGCGGCTCGTGCAATGGACGCAGTACATCCTCCTTGGCATTGGCGTCGTTGGACACGTCGCTGCACGTGTTCAGATACTTGCGATTAAAGTGCAGCTGCGGCGTGCCCCACTTGCGCTCCAGCTCCAGACTGGTGCCGCTCTCGGATGTCTCGCCATCCGGCGTAACTGGCGCAACTGCCGTATCGGCCACCTCGCCGATGGCCTCCTTGTAGGTGCGCGTGATGATCATGCAGGGCGGCACGCTCTTGCCGTTGACGCCGGCAATCTTCGGCTGCTGATAGTTCAGCGGCTGGGGCAGACTCTGTCGCATGGGCTTGGAGTGGCGCGGCGACCTCACCGCCATAACAGTAACCCGATAATGGAGCAACTGTTGGGTGACAAAGGTGGTCATTAGGTACTCCCATGTGGCAGTTCATTTAATTGAGTTCATTCTCACCTTATCGTCGTCGACAAAGCGCGACAGCTCGTTGAGCCCAATGCTGACGCAGGTGCCCTCCAGCAGGATGTCCTTGTCGTACTCGCTGTGAACGGGAAACTTCTGGGTCAGGGAAAGCGCCTCGTTGTTCGGCTGCAGCAGGGTCACCTCGTAGGCATAGTTGTACTTGGTCTCGCGCCGATTCGAGGTGCAGGTCATGGTGAACAGGATGCGCTCCTTGTCGTAGATCTCGTAGAAGTTGAACATCTCGTCGAATGCCTGGAACACATAGTAGCCAGTCAGTGGCCGGATCTGCTTGGCCATGTTCCACACCAGATCCGCGCTGGCTGCACAGAACAGCTTCGACTTGTGCTGCTCCTCCAGGTGCTGCTTCCACTGCACCTCCCTACCGTGCCACTTGCAGTCGCCCCACACGCGCCCCATGAAGCACTTCATCGGCTTATAGATGCACTGCTGCTCGTGCCACGGCAGCAGCGCCACCGGCATCCTGACCACGCACCCACCCGCCGCGAAACTGCACCCGAAGTGCGCCTTGGCGCACAGCGCCTCAATTGTCAGCGAGCGCAATGTGGTGAATCCCTCCTGGAAAATGATCAAGTTCAAATATTTCGATATCAGCAAACTTATCTGGATAGCAATCTATATACATACATATCTATGCTAAAGGACATCCTATATATGTATGTATGTACATAAATACATATACATAGGTACATCTATGTATGTACAGAGAGATACAGGCATATATACACACATACATACTTGGATACATAAACATTCATGCATATGCAAGTATTAATACAAGTTAATGCATACATATGTACATACCCACATATGTATGTATGTACATACATGTGCATATATGTGTACATTACAAACATTAAATAGAGTGAGAGAGGGATATAGAGAGATATAGAAACAGAGTGAGAAGGAGACTGAGTGAGAGAGAGTGGGTGGTAGACAGAGAGAGAGAGGGGACAGAGTAAGACAGAGAGAGAGAGAGAGAGAGAGAGAGAGAGAGGGGAAAGAAAGAGTAATAGCGTGAGTGACTGAGAGAGAGAAAGCTACTGAGATTTACATGGAGATGTACATGGGATAAAATAGAAAGCAAATGGAGATTGAATAGGAGGCAGGGGAATAGTGCCTAGGTGCTCTAAGAGCACACAGATGGGCATACTCAAACATTTGACTCATTACTCGTACAGCCCACTCAATATAGAAGTTATTAAAGGGTTATAGATGTAAATTCTTGATGATATTTGCAGAGCGTTATTACGACTTTGAATTAAATATATGCGCTGAAGATGAACTGAGTTCAATATGTTAAAACTAAAATGTTTTGTAGTCTGTTATCAGATATTGCGGGTCCCTATATCATATATCATGCTCTTCAAGTTTTGTTCAAAGATACCGAATATAATTGATAACACGGAAATGAAAGCAGTTGTACAAAAATAATAATTCAATAGTATTTCTTTCTACATTAAGAAATATCTATATCAAATACAGAGTCTGTAACTTAATATAAATACATTTATATATTTTCTATTCGGTCTCAAAGAAAAAAGTTAACTCTCTACGTAGACATTATTGGTACGGTGTAAATATTGTTTTTTCTCCACCTGAAGCCAAAATAAACCTTGAATATACTTCAAGTCTGACAACATATGGTACTCAGAATGATATATCATTTAACCTGGCAATTCATTGTAAAAAATCGTATTTAGAAACATCTGTGTAGGCATTACTCTTGAGTTCTTGACAAATTGATATGACGTTCAATGTTTTCTTATCTATATATATAACTCTTGGCCGGCTATAAACGTGAACCGTAAATAATATCATCATCATGACATTGGGTATATTCCAAGGTATTCAAGGAATAATAGTTTTGGGAGAAATGCATTTGACAATCAGAAGGCCTGGCAGTACCTATATGATATAACTGTATATTGACTTAGTTGTCAATTTTATATATTATACAGAAGCTGGAGGTTCGTATATATGTAGATATATCCAGTAGTATACCATCTGCCCTTCTCCTACATTTAAAGCCGCACCTGTGCTATGGCAAGGACACACATCTGGATACGCTCTAAAATTCATCTATAAGAAAATACATTTAAATTTCCCATAGTAAAACCCATGCTGCAGTCACTTCGCAAGATAAATTAGATTGCTTGGAATGACAGTTCTTTGCAAAGCTCAGGGTATCTCCAAGTCGGGCACTCCTGACTCGATCACTCTGGCATGCCTCACAGAACTAAAATCTTTAAGAGCTTTTTAGTGAATTTGAGCTTTTCAATTGGTCTTTCTTATTGATCACATATCAATCAATCAATCAAGTTTAAGTTGCGCAAAATGATTCACGATCAATTTGGTCTCTATACATATAAGAAAATAATCTAAAAATTCTGTTATCTGTTCCATGTAGTTGATTGCAATTCGAGCCTTGGACATGAGGTTCCACTGTATCAATGGGCAGCGAAACGTCATACAAGCAGATGAGCGATAAGCAGGCAACGCCACGATGGGCGCTGTGAAGTGCTTTGATATCGCTTACCTAACGCTGACGTCAACCCCGAATGAAGGGAGCTCGCTCTATGCATACATACATACATACATACATATACTTGTCAGTATCTGAAGCATGATATCCATGTATATGGTATCCATGTCTGTGTGGCTGGTGGATGGATATACATACCTTGCACAGCGGACACATCAGACGAATGCGGGTGCACTGCTCACACACGCTGTGCCCGCTCTTGCAGAGCATCACGGGCGCCTTCATCGGACTCGCGCAGCCGGGACAGCGCAGCTCTTCGATGAGGCTCTCATAGTGCTTGCTTGAGATCGTAGTTGGTAGCGCTGGTTGCTCAACGGATGACTTTCTTGTTGTTGTTGTTGCTGGAGTTGAATCTATTGCTGGTGCTGGTGCAGCTGTTGCAGGAGTTGCTGCTGCTGCTGTTTCCGGAGTTGCTGCTGCTGCTGTTGCAGGAGTTGCTGCTTCTAGTGTTTCTGCTGCCACAGGTGTTGCTACTGCTGCTGTTGGTGCTGCTTCTGCTGGTATTTCTGTTGTTGCTGCTGGCGTCAGGGCGGCTTTTGTGACACTATGCCGCAACACAACCGCCTCGCCATTGCCCAGCGGCGATCGCGCATCCCCCGAGCCTGTGCTGCGCGTGCGACTTAGCATCGGCGGCTTCGGCGGCGGCGACAGCGGCGAGCGCACCATCGTCGATGTGGCCAGCGTTGGACTTGGCAGCGTGGCATATTTAACGCTCAGCGCCAGACTATTGGGCGGCGTCACTTGGCGTCGCAGCTCGGGCACCTCCTCAGCTGGCTCGCTGCCGTTCTCCTCCTGTATCTCGTTGATAGTGCTCTTCAGGAAGATGCGGCGCTGCTCGTTGATCTGCTCAATGCTGCGCAGCTGGCCCAAGATTTGCAGCTGGTCGTTGTCAGTTTGGCCCATTGGTGTTTCTCTGCTGTTGCTGTTGCTGTCGCTGTCCCCGTGCCCATTGGCACTGGCAATGGTAGCGTTGACTTGGCCGATGCTGCTCATGACTCCTGCTCCTTGCTTGCTGCTCGCCTGCTGCTGGTAATTGTATAACCACGACTAGTACTTGGCACTTGGCGCACCTCTCGATGTTTCACTCCAGTTATGTATCGCTTTTTCTGGAATGCCTCTGTAAGTGTGTCTCTCTCTTGTTCTCTCCCTCTCTCTCACTCTCACTCTCTCTCAGTGTACGTGTGCTGGGCTCGAGGAGTCTTCTATCTTATCAGAACCGCCTAACTAGGCAGGCAATCGATTTGGATTTTTTTGATACATGTACTCACATACAGACGTCCGTATGTATGTATGTCTGCATGTATGTATGCTCGAAGTTTGGTGCATACACATATGTACATATATTTAAGTATTTATCATGCCCATTTACGCATGTATAAGGTGAGCGCCTATTTGGTTAGTACGAAGTAGTCGAACTACTACTATCTCTGCCAGCCGTCTCACAGCCTTCTTCGCTTCGTCTTTCGGCCAGAACTACGCTGCACAGATAACGTCGCGTGGTGGCACTGTATTCCAATTATTCCCATTGCCAATTTTTGCACGTTCGCTTTATTTTCTTTTCTTTTCTTTGAGTGTTTTAATTTTTGTTTGTTAACAGCTTTTCCCTTCCATCGAGTTTTACTGCATTTGTTTTGCCTCAAATCGCTGCCCATGTCAGAGTGCGGTCAGGGCTTACTTTCGTTTTCGTTTTTGTTTTCCTTCTCCATTTTCCGATTTTAAAAACTTGGGCATGTCTGCAGGTGTGCATATGTGTATATATGTATGTATAGTTTGTATATGTATGCATTTTTGTGTGCATGGCTTTAGTGGACTTAGAGACTTTCCTAATGTCAAGGCAAGCGGGCGTGAAATATCAAATATCATATATCATTGTTAAGCAAATGGTTGGGCGGAAATCGTAAAGGTTTAAATATAAGCAGTTGCATTTGAAAGCGAAGATCAACTATTTTTATAGTTGATTGCTTCAAACAACTCTTAAGGATGAGCCAATCTTGCCATTGATTAGTGGGAAAGTCTTACAACTACCAGATTTACATACTATGTATTAAGGTGTGCAGATCTATGCCAAGATATATCATATATCGGATGAAGTTACAGAGTTAGCTAGTTGTTTGCTCAATCATAATTCTTGCAGCAGGACGATGCAGGATGATGGTATAAGAAAGTACTTCCAATTACCATATTGGAAACTAGAAATAATATCTAATTAGCATAACATCCCGTTACACGGGCCTGGTATGGATCACTCATCCAATCAGTAGGAATCCTACAAGGCCAATCCGAAGCAAACTGCCTGAAAACAAACAAAATTAAACAGAGCAAAGGAAAGAAGATTCTCATACCCTTTTTAACACATACATATGTATGTATGTACATATGTACGTACATACATACATATACATATATGTACACATGTACATATTCCAGCATGACAATCGAGTCCTACATACCGCCCTTAAGGTCATCTACAATACGGTAAATGCATCAAACGTGCTTTAACCGCATTAAGCAATTCAATCATTAAGCAGCTGCGTTGCGCATTTTAACTGAGAGAATTGTCTGTCTGCTTAGCTCATGCGTAAAGACCACTTAATTGAGACCTTTTCAAAATATGCTTCCACTTAAATAGCACAATTTAATACATGTATGCAAATAATTTACAATAAATTTCAAAAGCGATTCTTTTGAAATGGCAAAATGTGATCGAGTACGGTCACACTGTTATCTAACTTCAAATGGCTGTCCAAAGTAAATTTATTTTAGCATCTGGCAACGCTAGCAAAGGTGCGCGCTATCTTTATGAGCGCAATGACAATAAAATAAAAATTTAAACGTTGTATATGCATATGTAGACACGCTGGCAGCTGCGATCATGCGCTGCGTGTTTGTAGGCGGAAACAAATGGAAATATTTTTAAATGATGTACAGGGATCTTATCTTTTATAATAGATAAATCATAAGATAAGTAGATACATGTGTATACAAATATAAAGATATACATATATTTATATGGAATACATATTAGCAGCCAGAGCAAAATCAAGTCAGTTCAAGCAACAGTTGAAGTTTCAATGTGACGTTGAAGGTTAAACGAGTGCCTTGACATTCAGTATAACTGCTAATTGGCGTGCGCGCGCAACAGCATCCACCACCACTTTCGACCGATTTCAAGCGACAAGCAGTTATAACGGGCAGAGCCGCCCGGTCAGTTGCGTCCACAGTTTCGTTACCAACAGTTCTAATCGTAATGGCACCCCGGCACATACTCGACCTTAGCGTCGAGGAGCAGCGCAGCTTCATTGACTCCTTCGATATGGTAATCAGCGACTGCGATGGCGTCGTCTGGCTGCTTCACGGCTGGATACCGGGCACCGGCGAGGCAATAAATGCCCTCAAGAGTGCCGGCAAATCGGTTAAGTTCGTGTCGAACAATAGTTTCCGCACCGACGGTCAGTACATGGACAAATTCGACTACATTGGAGCAAAGAATGTGCAACACGATGACATAGTGCATCCGGTTAAGAGTATTGTGCGCTATCTGCACAAGCACAAGCCCGGCAAACGCGTCTACTCGCTCATGTCGCTGGAGGCCAACGAGACGTTGCGTAAGCATGGAATCGAGTATGAGTCGCTGGTGAGTTCTTGGAGTTGTTCCAAAAATAAAGTCGAGCTCTAGAATGAAATCATATGCAAACTGCAGCAAATCAAGGAGCACTTGACGTCAGCCACACTGGTCGAGCATCTGGCCATTGAGAAACCTGTGGAAGCCGTCCTATTCGACATACATCTGGATATGTCCTATGTGGAGCTCGCCAAAGCGATTCGCCACCTGCAGCTGAACAAGAACTGCGAGCTGATTGCCGGCGGCAGCGATGTTATAATGCCACTGACCGAGAATCTTAAGGTTCCGGGCTTCTACGACTTCTTGCAGCACGTCAGACACTACACGGATCGCGACGCAATCTTCCTGGGCAAGCCGTCGCCCCTACTGGGCGATCTGCTGAAGGAGATGTACAACATCCAAGCGCCAGAGCGATGCATTTTCATTGGCGATATGCTCGTGCAGGATGTGCAGTTCGGCAAGTCCTGTGGCTTCCAGTCCCTGCTCGTGCTCTCGGGCATCCTGACCAAGGCGGACATGGACGCGGCGCCGCCAGAAGCACAGCCCGACTACTATGCCGACAGCCTGGCCGATTTCATAGAGTTGTTCAAGAACTTGCAGTAGACGCGAATTGCGCACAGTTATTATTACTTTATTTATCGTTGCTGTAGTCTTGTTATTGTTGTTGGCCAGGTCCATTGCGTTACAAATATATACATATAATGTACAATCGGCTAAAGAGTTCGGTCAGAGTTTCACAGCTCCAGGTCGTCGGGGTGGTAGAGCTCGGAGAGCAATCGGTAGACATAGGAGGGAGCATGACCGCCACTAAAGAGTAAAAATAGAATGAGTATTGGAAGCTGATTGAAGCGTAGCTCGGGTAATTGGCCACTCACGCATTCGATATGAAGAGCGTGACCAGCTCGGGTGCCACATAATCGAACATGGGACTGTAGACCTTGGCGTCGCGAGCCGGCATCGAGTCATACGCAATGACGTCCTCGGCACAGCCGACCATATTGAACGCATCCTGCTCGCACAGGTGTAATGGCGACAGCTTGTACATGGGCGCCAGCACAATCACCGGCACCGAGTAGTGTTTGGCCGCCAGAGCAACTGTGTTGGCTCCGCAGGCAGCCCGCAGGCCGCCATTGGCCAGGACACTGTGTGTGCCAATGATGACCTTGTTGATGCGCGACATCATGGCAAATATGGATGCGTCCGGTATTACAATAATCTCCACATTCTTCTCCTGCGCTAAGGTCGCAGCTAAATTGTGGCCCTGCGGATAGACAGAGACGGCACGCATTAAACAAGGACTCGCCAAGGACACCGAAAGTTATTTATAGACTTCTATACATGTGTGTGTAATCAACCGAATAGTCAAAGCTAAATTGCGGTTGGAAAAGTAACAGATGTTAGCCGATTATGACCTCTGGCGTTGCAAACGGTATCATCCCGGAGCTAATGAGAGCCTGTTGTAAGAGTGACTCACCCGACAGGCTGGCGCGCACTCGGCTACGATTATTGTCAGAAACTGTCGCTTCTTGATGGCCCGCTTCAGAAAGTTTTCGACGCTGCGCGAATGTCCAAGCGTAAGTATTATCTCTGAGGAGTGTATGTGCTCCTCGGCTTGCACACTGATGTTTTCCGAGCTAGTCTCCAGTTCAGTCTCGACCTCTTGCAAATGATCCAGCAGCGCCTCGCGTAATCCCTGCTGCGGCACCGAATAGTCCACACTGACACAGCTTTCGCTGGTCTGCGTGACCAGCTTGTGCAGCGATAGGGAAGCTTGTGAGTCGTCGGCGAAATGCTGCACCTTGGCCTGCAGCAGTTCGAACTCCTCGCGCGTCAGTTTCAGTATGCGCCGTGCTATATTCGAGGTGACGGTCTCCTGGGGCAGAGCCGCTTGCAGGATTCGTGACTGGGCGCGAACAATTTGCATGAGCGCGCTGTGAACGTAGACAAAGAGTTTAATCAATGTAGACAACAATAATGAGCTCAAAGGCAACTCACTCGGCGCTATCCCAGCTCTTGCTCATAATAATGTATTTAAAGATGTCTAGCGTTTTGTTGGTAATGCTGTAGGAACCTTCCACCAAACTGTAAATACGATTTCAGCTGTTTAGCTCTGCGTAATGGCATGCATTGCATTCTGTACGTGTCTTACCCCATTTTAATGGCATGTATCAGTTGTGTAACCTCTTTTAACGGCTGTTCGCGCATTTTGGCAATCTGTTCTATGTTGTAATTGCAAAAATAAGAGAAAATAACAAATTGCACGGACAACGTTCGTTCAACAACAACAACAATAATTGTACAAGATGCAATCGATGCCTGAACTTGTAAATCAGCTCGTGTTGAACTTGTACTCAATACTCGATACTCGGTCAACTGTTGGAGCTATTGTTATCGATATCGAAAGCATTTTGTTGAACAGCAGCAAAAAAAAAAAAAAAGGCAAAAACAACAAAACACGATAAAACTGGACGCAATATGAGCTGAAAGCTTGTTTACGTGTCCGTGTCTTCTTCATAGCCGAACAATCGTTGAAGACACAACGCGCACGGCAGGCGGGCAGCGCGTACTGTCAACGCAGCAATTGTTGATCACCGAAACAGGTGTTTCCCTTTATTTATTTATTCTTTTTCATTTTTGTTTTGTTTTCGGTTTTGTTTTTGACTCAAACTATTTTGGCCTAAACTCACGCTTTGCCGGCTCTGATATCAAACCAGACGCTAAGCGCAAAATGAACATACACGGTGAGTGGCTATTGTTTTTTCTTGTCGCTGTTGTAAATATTAGTAATGGTCAACCATTAAAGCTAAAATGTTGCTTTCCTCTATTGCAGTTAACGCCAACACACTCAAGTATGTGAGCCTGCTCACATTGACCTTACAAAATGCGATCTTGGGCCTCAGCATGCGCTATGCGCGCACTCGGCCGGGCGACATATTTCTTAGTTCCACAGGTGAGAGAGTCCATCAGAAGAGGCGACGTAAGCAGATGCGCTGTTGGCAAATATCCACACACACACACACACACATACATACATACATATACGCACGCGCGCATATACATAAGTTACGTTGTTTTAATGGGATCGCAAAAGGTTCGTTTTTCAATTAGAGGCAACTACAATGACGAAAGATTGGTGCCCCCAGCTGATAAGCAGTTAATGTTATGTTTTACTTCCTGTGCGCGAGTGTACTTAGTGTAGCATGTGTGTATGTGTGTGTGTGTGTCTGTGTGTCAGTCAATGCGTATGTGTGTGCATAGTTTCACATCGCTTCAACTGATTTGTGTGGCTGGCTGTTCTGTTCCACGATATGACCATGTAACTTCTCTGCTTGCAGCTGTGCTCATGTCGGAGTTTGTCAAGCTGATCACCTGCCTGGTGCTGGTCTTCAACGAGGAGGGCAAGGATGCCCAGAGATTTGTGCGCTCGCTGCACAGGACGATCATTGCCAATCCGGTGGACACGCTCAAGGTGTGCGTACCCTCGCTGGTTTACATTGTGCAGAACAATCTGCTGTACGTGTCCGCCTCGCACTTGGATGCGGCCACCTACCAAGTGACATACCAGCTGAAGATCCTCACCACCGCCATGTTCGCCGTGGTCATACTGCGCCGCAAGCTATTCAACACGCAGTGGGGCGCTCTGGTGCTGCTCGTCCTGGGCATTGTGCTGGTGCAGCTGGCCCAAACGGATGGCGGCAGCGGCGTCAGCGGTGCCACTGCCAACGCCATTTCAACGGCTGCCAGCGCGACTCTGACATCCGCCGAGGCACCAGCACAGAACCGAATGCTGGGCCTGTGGGCGGCACTGGGCGCCTGTTTCCTGTCGGGCTTCGCGGGCATCTACTTTGAGAAGATACTGAAGGGCGCCGAGATCTCCGTGTGGATGCGCAACGTTCAGCTCAGCCTGCTGAGCATTCCGTTTGGGCTACTGACGTGCTTCGTCAACGACGCCAGTCGCATCTACAACTTTGGCTTCTTCCACGGCTACGATGTCTTCGTGTGGTACCTGGTGCTGCTGCAGGCAGGCGGCGGCCTGATCGTAGCCGTCGTGGTTAAGTATGCGGACAATATACTTAAGGGATTCGCCACCTCGCTAGCGATCATCATCTCCTGCATCGCCTCCATCTACATATTCAACTTCAATCTGACGCTGCAGTTTACTGCCGGCGCCATGCTGGTGATTGCCTCGATATTCCTCTACGGCTACGATCCATCCCGGGCCAATGCCAAGCCCATCTCCCACTCTGATCCCGGCGCTGGTGACGAGGAGAAGCTACTGCCACGAGTCTGAGCCAATGCACAAGCTAGCTCTCGACCCTGCATCTAAACTAATCCCCCATCTCTAATCCTAACCCAGGGCAACGTAATCTTTCTTTTCCTTTGCCACCAGTATTTGTTGTATTTTATTTCCTTCTTATTTTGGGCTGCGAGGTCCACGTGATTATTGTATTTGTACTTCAATTTGATATTCGAACTGCTTTTGATATTTTAAGCGGAAGCCTTACGCATTCCCGAATAGCCTCATATACATACCAGGTGTATATGTATATATGTACATTTATATTAAGTCCCATTGGTCTGGTATAAGACGCTCGGGCTAACATTACGTATTTATATATATAGTTCTTTAGCCGGCAGTTAAGTTATATATGTTAAACAAATTCAAAAAGCAACAATAAAATATATATACATGTATATTGTATATTTTCAAGAACATTTTTATTTATCTTTGTGCTAAAAGAAAATGGAATGCATTCAGGATTCGGTTAAGCGTTTCTTTATTATTATAAAAAAAAAAACAACTTATTTTTAAATTTACAAATAATTTAAAAAAAACTTCATGAATAGATCTCTTATTATATATAGAATATATACATCGATTGGTGTATAGCATTAAAAAGGTAAAGCCAATGAAAGTTCAAGTTTTGGCCAAGAGTTTCTTTATTTTTATAAAAAATAAAGAAAAAACTTAATGATATATGTAAAAATAACTGACTTCATGAAAATATCTCTTATTATATATAGTATATATACATCCATTGGTGCATAGGATGAAAAGGGTTTGGCAAAGTTTCTTTATTTTTAGAAAAAATTCAAGAAAATATCTTAGTGATAAATGTAAAAATAGCTAACGTAAATTTTTAAAATATGACTTCATGAAAAGATCTATATATAGATCTCTATATAGTATATATATACATCGATTGGTGTATACAATGAGAAGCTTTTCTTCAGTAAAGCTTGAGTACGTTTCTACTTATGATATATGTATATATATATATATACATATATACATATAGGGTTTTGTTATTTGAGTAAAATATACATATGAGTGAGTAACATGAAATGAGGAAATTAAATGGGTCTTCGTCGATCTTCCAGTGATCCTAAACTAACGAACTTACACAGAGTTTTCATCCACGGAGCGTGCACATAACAGAGTAAAAAATATGAAGAAACTATGATGTATCTAGTAAAAAGTAGCCAAAAAAGTTGAGGAAGAACGACGAGCCGATGGCTAATCACACCAGCCAATGCTAACGTCGTCCATCGATGTCTGCAAGTTAAGGACCAGCTCGTATATGCGCAGTGCTGGGCCCAGC